AAATTAATTACAGAGTTTCGTTGTTTTTTTTTCTGTTGCCTCGGGCGATATTTTTATCCGTGTCGATGTAAAAAAAAGTTGAAACAGTTGTAACTATTGCTCATAATTCGTAATTCCCGTCAGTGTTGCTTTTGTGTGTGGGCTGGAAAATTTGCACGTTCGAAGTGCACCTGAAATTGAAGCTGGCTGTGAACAAACATAATAATGTTTCGGGACGAATGTCAGAATGTACGTACATTGTGTACACACGCCGCCCGCGCACTGCGCGCGAGATTAATGTACGCGCACAAAATAAAAATAATTTCAAACAAAACAAAACACAGCGAAAAAACATGCAGCGCATGAAAATAAAATACGCAACAGCGTAAAATTTGATTCCATTCGATTGCAATTTGAGTGCCCCGGCGAATCGATATTTAGTGTTGTAATATAATTGTAAATTTCACAATGCAGCCGGGCGCTGATTATCATCAATTATATCGAATGTGTATTTATAAGTCAACATAACGCGCAGGTTTTTTGATTTGATGCCGGCGCTTTCGACACACACAAAACATGTAGAAAGTAAATTGTTGAAAAATGCTGCGTCTGTGTGTATATCCGCAGCGTTTGCTGCGTTTTTTCAATTCGACCGACCTCGATCCATGGATATCCTGTTCACTGGCGTGCGAACATCAAAAAAGTATTGGGAATGCAGTGCGAAACCGAAAGCTGGAGCGCGGGCGCGCGAGGGCTGCTGGACCGCCGCCAACACGCGCGTCTCGCCGCGCCGCCGCCTCCTCTTGTTCGGACTAACAAAACAGGATGGTAACATTTCCGCTGCGCGCCGCACGTCATTTCGCATCAATTAGTCGAAAGGTCGAGATATTGCGTTACTTCGCGGTCTTTTCCGCTCGGGATGCGCGCCTCCATCACCGCATCATCAACATCCTTAGATATACACACGGAATTTTTCAGAGGAATTCACTTATATATGGTTTCGTGGATAAATTTGATTTGCGCTTAAATAGGTATCTAATTGCGTGGAAGCAACCTGAGCCGGCTTGTTCGACAAGCGCGTTCGATGGTTTTAATTAAGAGAATTATCCGTAGCGGTGGTCGGGCGGGCCGAAAATAGCTCGCATCTTCATCTTAGACTAAGCCACTTCGCCTCCACCCACACGTCTTTAATCATTATAGTGCGCTTGACAACACAAGGCATATTTTCGTTAATTACTCCGAGAATTACGTAATATACATCTTCTTATAATTAAGATACTTACAAATGAAATATTTGTATGTTCATAAATCAAATATTAAATGAATTTTTGCGTAGATGCGCGATTTATCTTGAATATTGTTATTGTTTGGTGCGTTTTTCGAAATCGCTCGCTCGGCACACTTTTATTTCCGCGCTGGGAAAATAAGCGTGCTGTTTAAGGGCGGCCAACGGCAGGAAATTCAAAATATACATAAATTTCGCATGAGCTCGTACATTGTACGAAAATCAATGTTGAATTTCATTTTTGGAATTCTCGCGGGAGCGCCGCGACGCGTGTATACCTGCCCGAAATTGGGCGAAATATAATAAAAATCTTATAAAACGTCGACCCCGGCGCGCAGCAAAATGTCGCCGTAAACTAGAATTTGCGCGCCGCGCCGCGCGAAATATCTCCACGAATAATCTAAACAAAGAATATTATGAGCACCGACGAAATGACGAATTTAATTAAAGCATCGAGCGCCGGAATCGATAAACGTCGCGTCCTTTGATGCATTTTGGTCGCGCGTCGTGCGCATGAGTTATTTACGAACACACCATTTCTCTGCGCTGTGCATGAATTATAAATCTCAATTAAATATTGCAGCGGTTGCAATGACGCCAACAGCGCCTTAATTACGAATCGTAAGTTGTTATCCACTATGTACGTGTGCATAATACATACACACTTCTCACACATCGGATGCAGGGGTTGTAATTGCATATGCAAACTAAAAACCCGTTCGTGTATCTTCAATGCATGATTAAACGCAAAAATTGATTGATTTTCCGGCCGGCGTATTAAATATTAATTTTATGTACATCAGCGATAGCAGGGATCCGTAACACACCGGCATTGTTTGGCTGCAACTCGTGAATTTTGATATAATTAATGTTCTCTTGCGCGTGCACACGCCTGAACATGCTTTATTAATTTCGCGCAGCTTAATGCGTATTGATTGTGTGCGCTACGCGCTTTGTGCGATCAAATGTTGTTTAATTATGCGAAGCAACGTTCGAGTTATTTGCGTGCGCCTGTATTAAAACGCCTTTAAGTGTTTTAAGCTCAAGAAGAAAAAAAAACCTAAAAATTTAGGGTTTCAGGTTTTGATTAAAAAAATCCAGCCATTTATCACTGGCGATTATGCGCCTCATTTTCTGCTCACTTTTTCCTCATTTTCTAAGTAGATATTATTATTTATTAAACGTGAGATCATTTTTGCCCACCTGCACGGAAATTTCACTTTGTTGGTAGTTTTACATCGTCAGGAGGCTAAAACTTTGTTTATTTTGTCTGTGGGATAACACAGAATTGCATAATTATTGTTTTTATCATGTTTTACATCGCATTAAAGAATTTTTAGTAAAAAAATGTTGAAAACATAAAAAATTCTTTTGTTTTCATAAAAAAAATAAAAAAATTTAATGTAATTAAAAGATGTCTCAGCTTGTAAAACTACTAGCAGGACACTTGCTCTTTAAGTTGTAAACCAATAAATTAACCTGCTCGCGACGTCGCTTCATTTGTCTTTCGCCGCTCGCTGCTGCTGCTGCTTCTTTCATCCGCGCTGTCTGTGCGCGCGAGTTACACTAATAAATGCTGAAACCGTTTAGCTCGCAAATTTAAAGAACACATTCGCACTGTATCCGCCTTTGTTTGCGCAGCCGTACGTATGCAATTAGAAATAATGAAAATTAATGAGCTCCCACGACGAGCGGAGACAATGCTGCGCGCGTTCCATTGTCGAAATTGTAAGTCGAATTGTAATCGTTTAAAATTACAAATACTGAATTGTACGAATCATTCGTTAAGCGCCGAGATTTAATTATTTCGGAACAAAACATGACCTCGATATTTAATTATAGTCTGGACTAGAAAATCGTTTCCATCACATTTGTGCGTTTCTTGGTAAAATTTGACTTTTGACGCTGTAGCCTTTCATCTCTTGAAGTTCACCCGATAAAGGCACACGCCGGGCACAGACGACATTTTTTCCGGCCGGAAAAATTAATTTTCCATATCGTTGGGTCTCAACCAGCCACTTTTATAGAGTGCGTTTATATTTTATTTATTGTAACAGAGGAAAAGCAACGAATTTCGTGCCTCATTAGAGAAAGGTATTAGGCGTGTAGCACTTGTAAAATTCCGAATGGAAAATCTCACATCTCTAATGAATGTAATCTCAGCGGAGCAGAAGGGTAAATAACCCTTTTGCTACGCGTATGTTGTCATGTGAAACCCAGAAAAATCACCGACCAACTCCCGCAAGACATGCACACAGCGAATTTTTAAATCGCTGGAAAATGTTCGCAGCCGAGAGAGAAAAAAATCTATAAAAAGTTTTCGAGCATGATGTAATACGGAGAACTAAATTTAGTCGCTACCCGCATTGTTATCGAGGCGATAATCACATGTGACTTGGTTTTCCACGCGCGCGTTTTTATGTTTCTCAGCATGCACACTTAATCCATTTTGATTTCTTTCACGCGCGCGAACACCGCCCGGATTTGTGTATAAATGTAAGTAAACGGATTGGAAACCCAGGCGCCAGCGGCGAACGAAAAAAAAAACAACTAAATAAAACACCGCTGCGCCGGCGGCGGGCGGAAAAACGAAGCAGGACCCTGATGCGGTTGCACTTTGCGCGTTCGTTAAATATTTACGTTATTAACAGTATATAACACGATTTTAAAATTAGTGGGGCCCCGGCACGTGTAAATAAAATCATCGTCCGTAATAGTGGTGTAGTGCCGGCAGCAGGAGAAATCAAATAAATGCATTTGCCATTAAGCAATTAGCGACGTGCAAACATATCGAAACACTACACCTTTTCGAGAGTGAATTATTTCCCAAGAGAGGTTTTTCCAAGTTTTCCTCTTGGTGCGCAGTTTGTTTTTATTTTCCAGTTTTGAGTCCGCAAAGGAGTTTTTCCACGTTAGGCCAGCTCTGAATGCGCAACATTAACTCGTTGTGCCTCATCTACTCCGGCCGCTCATAATGCCTCCTAAATGCCTTTAATGCTGCCACAACTACCATCGACTTAAGTTAAACTTAGTAATTGCTCGGCCGCTGCTGCTCGCATGCAGCGCCAATGCCGATGTTTGTTTACGTTTATTTTATAACTTTTCCAAAACTGCGCGCCGCGTTTATTCACTACGCCGTAGAGTAGCAGCTAATCCCATCCATTTCTCACAAATATCGAAATATTTGAGTTACGGTCACTTTCAAGTTGATTTCAATTTGCATGTTTATTTGAACGATTTTTCCTCCCGGTGGCTGAATCGGAAACGCACGCCAAAGCCGTTTATGGTAATCGAAAAATTATTGACTCGCCCTGAAGGTGTATTACATTCACGCCCAAACTTTGAAATTTGCATACACGCTGAATATGTCTAAACGTTCATTGAGGGAACAATTATTCAAGCGTAGAACACCTGCCGGACACAAATTAACAAAACCGGAATAAAATAGTTGCATTTCGACGAATATTACATTCGCGTAATGTTTTTGCAAAGCCTGGGATGAATTTTGTTCCATTTACGTGTGAATTGGAGTGCAAACTCCAGCGCCGCCGGAACTGAAAGTTTTATTCGCTTGGTTCTTATATGTGTTGCGAATTCCTGTTTACGCCGCCAGCGCGTCCTTGGAGACGCGCTCACAAATCGAACTTAAATATTTCAACGACTGCAGATTAGCAAACGAAGCTTACCTTTTTACTAGCGCCATGCGTTAAAAACAAATTAGTTGTTGAAAAAGGATATGGATTAGTGATGAGCGCCAGGCACCAGCTCCTCGGGCGCGTCGTCTGCTTGATGTAGCCGTAGAGGATGGGCGCGAAGCCGGGGTACTTCAGGTTCGGATCGACCTCCAGCCCAGACACGGTGCCGCTGCATCCTGACTCGGTCTCTGCAACAACAACCAAACACCGAAAACCATAAATATTCAATCGTACATAACAAACATTAGTCAAAAGCGAAAAAAAATGAAAAACTTGTCTGAGCTCTCATTTAAAATTACTCATCCCTGAGTTTACTTCTTTCTGTTTACTTGTTTTTCTCCGTTCTATTTCCCGTTGTAGCTAGCGGTTTTTTTTTGCTTTGCTTTGTGAAGCATTTCTCATTTTCTTGTAATTCTCCTGTTTTGGTTCACCTCGCGTGCGGGCATTGTCTTGCCTCGGCTCGCGGGATTCGCTCAGATTTGCTAATAGCGCGCGGGCGTTTCGTTCCGCGAAGCATCTGAAACATCTGAGCTGCTCGCTAGGATTGTGCGGTCGGTGGATCGAACCGAATTGGCAAATGTGCGCCGCGCAAGGGCATCCATTAACTAGATAGATATCGTAAGCTGCTTGGCACGGAAGAGCGCGAGACGAGAGAAGAAGAGAAAAAAAAACGGGGAAAGAAGTCAATCTATTATTTAAAGTCGGCGAAATGAACAAACACGCGAGCGTCCTGCGTGCACTCGCGTGCGGCTAATCAATTTTCGGGTCGCCGGCGCATTATTACACGAAATCCAGCGGCGGAATTTATTTTTAAGCGACTCAATTAATTTCGATGATGCATTACATAAGATAACCTTGAACTTGATTTTAAACGTCTTGAAATGTTATTTTATCGAAATATTTAGGTACAAATCAGGTGGCTGAAGAAACAACCGATGTTATTAGCCATTTCGAGCTAGTCTAGAACACATTAAGCTCCGAAACTCCGAAAAATCTGCGCGCAGGATGCGAAAACGAATAGAAATACAAGTGAAAGCTTGATACGCCAAAACTAGAACATCTAGTTTTCTGCTGTGTTGTGCAGAGAAATGCGAAACATAATGGAAACTGAGATGGTCGTTAGATTCCCATTGGAATAAGAAATTTTATCAGTGTAATGCGTCCGGCGGGCGGACGCCGTGCATAAACTTTTGCAGCGTTCAACTCGTTTTTATCGGCGGGCAGCTTTCGTCAATGCGCAGGTTTTCACCCGTCTGCATTTCAATTTCGTTATTTCAGCCCGAAGGAAATACATTTCAACGTTTTCAACCGCAAGATTAGTTTCCGCAGCTTGTGTGTGTTTTTTTCCTCCTCTCCTTCTGCTTCGGCTTCGTGCACTAACAAAAAGCATACAGAAGCAAGTTAAGTTATTTTCGATATTTCTATTCTCCGCGCATTTCATATTTGTCTTTCACTAAAACACGTTGCGCGAGTTTCCGCGCTTTGCGTACCAAAGTTGGCATTCCACCCGGCTGGAGCCGTCTATTTACCCTCGATTCCTGTTGAATCTGCTGCGTCCGCCGACCGAATTATTTCACATTTTATCCAAATATTTTATTCAAACATCGTGGCCGGATGCGCCGTAATTGTCCTTTTCCAATTTCCCGCACGAGTCTGTCTTTCGCAGCGCCCTTATCCGGGCTTTGCCGTTATCGTCTTAGTGGATCGCGGTCGAATGGGAATATGGCGATGTCGTGCGTTATTGTTAACAACGCTATCGGCCAGCGTATCGGCATGCATATTCATCGATTAATTACGAAACTTCGTCACTGCGCGAGTTGATGAAACTGATTAGAGCCAGCCAATTGTTGATCGGATCACAATCGGCTGCCGGCGACGGAAAATTGAGTTGTCAACAGAACTAATAATTGATAGAGAAACACGTTGCTAATCGAAATCGCAGTCTGCATGAATTGTTTATCCGCGAATAAAAACATCGATTAAAATTACATTTTCTCTTTTTGCATATGTTCATTATTATTAAATAAATACTCAATTAATTACTCGATATAATATGTAATGAAAATTTATTGTGCGCAATTGTTCCCGAATACAATTGCATTGTTTACGCGTGAAACTGAAATGCATCCCACGCTCAAGATAAGTTTTTAGTTGTTTGCGCATGTGGATTCCATGAAAATTGATTTACAATCGCAGAATTTGCTTATTTTTGAAGATTGTCGCCTGATTGCTTCGCGTGTGCATGACACAGCTCAGCGCGGGCATATATAACATCTAAAACGCCAATTTGAATTGCATATTCATAGTGTAAACAATAGTAGATTGTGTGCTAAAGGCGGCAAATGGTGTTTGGCGTCCCGGGTTGATTGAATCCGAACGCTATCCACTTTCTGCCAGTTGTGCACACGCTATTTTTCGCTCGTCTACACCGAAACACAATCACGATTATGTTTCATTCAATCAATTCAAGACAGCAAACATAATAATTCACTTTTGGAGGGAATTTACTTACAAAAAAAAACAAGAAGTTAATTTATTAGCTCAGTTTAATATAATTTAACTCGTATATTACAAGAAATAGTTTGATTATTAATAAATATATTAAATTTTATTTCAAGAAATGTTTGCTTTTTTCGAGAAATTGATTAATTTGCAGTTATTTTTTTACTTCCACCTTCAAAGCGTCAATTTTTCCACGGTTTTAATGCATAAAAAGTCGTATTTTAAACACGGCCGTGACTAAAGTACTTTAATCATGAGTTTTAGTCACGGAGTGACTAAATTTTAGTATAGACATGTTTTAAACCTTGTAAAAGCACATAAACTAGTTATTTTTCACAAAAATTAAATTTTTATAGTTTAAAATTAGATATGAACATGTAAAGAACCAATTAATCATTATTATGCCACTACAATGCACTTATTTGCATTCAATTTCCTCCCTTTATAATTTAAACAAGAAATAATTACTCCGACAGACGAAGAACACTTATTATTTATTCGCGCACGAGAAATTTTATTCATTAGTAAATTACTCCCGCGGCAGATCAATAGCATAATATATTTAATACCATGAATATCTATTTTAAGTGCGCGAAATAAGCTTTATACGAATTTAAAAATAGGTACATACAGTGTGCATGCAATAATCAACTAATTTAATTATAAAACATAGAAATTCTCTGAATTGTACACGCACAATGGACTAAAACACATTTGTCGAAATCCTTTTGAAGCGTGTGTGTGCTCGTTAATGGCGAATTGAACGTAATCATGATGCAATACGCATGATTAATCCCCATAGTAAACTGGACACAATTAAAACGCATGCGTTTCGTTAAAAATCATCTTGAAACCGATTTTAATCAATATCGCAATGAATGAATGAATAAAACTGAGCGCGCTTTTTTTTTCTTTTCAAGAGCTTTTAGCATTGCATCATGTTCGTCTGCGCTCGCGCATATTTCAAAAATTAATTACCTGTCTAAATATTTTTGATTCGTCGATGGATAATATACACAAAACAGATCCGCTTTTAAATTTTCGTGTAAACAGTGCAAAGCCGCGCGCGCCTTTCTTCGCACACGTGAATTCGTCCACACACGAATTCAGTGTTTGCACAGGATTCTCGCAACCTATTTTTACTTTCCGAACACGGCGCGCGAGAGCAGTGAAAATATTTTGAATTCGATATCGCAACTTTACGCGCCGCAGTTATTAAAGCGGGGATCGCGGGCAAAGCGAAAAACGCAACGCAAACAAACACGCACGGGATACTTACAACTTACATGAAGAAGAATGCACTCCGCGCAAATCCACATTGGCGGCGGTCTTCATCGTGACGAATTTATGAGCGTTGGCTTTATTGCACAACTTGCTCGATTGTTCAACTTGAAGAGCAATACAACGAAAAGTTCGTCGGAATTGAATTGAGTTCTTATTTTATTGACACTGGGCATGCATGACGTTGTTTGACGCCTGTTCTTTCGATGGTGTTGTTGTTGGGGTTTTTCTTCTGTATTTTCTTGATAATAAGCAAAGTTATTTTTTGTTTCAGGTGAGTTTCTCAGGTGAAAGGAGAAGAGTCGAACGACTACTTTCCGAACTCACCGGAGTGGAAATCTAACGGGAGAGAGGTAATTATCCGTTGATGGTGGAATGATTGGGTTTGATCACATCGAATGCATTGCGTTTAACGTGTTGCGAGTCCCGCGCAAGTTCGGAAAGTAAGTGCGCACAAGAATTGAACCGGAAAAGCGTCACGCGCGAGAGACGACTTACCTTCGAGATCCGAGGGCGTCGAGTCGGCGCTATCGTCGGTGCAATCTCTTCGCCGATGCGATAATCCCGAATCGGATCGGCAATGCATGTAGCCGGTGGTGTTGTAATGCATCGAATGCATGTCGGCGGGCGATCCTCGCTGCTGCTGATCAATCTTCGTCGGCGACGGCGGTTGCACGGAGCGCGGAGAACTAGTTCGCAAGTTTGCGCGCGACACGAATTAACAGCCGCAGAGATCGACCATCGCCGCGCCGCTCGTCGGCTCCCTTTACTGCATCATCCAAAAGTTACTTAAGTATACACTCTCCTGGGGGGCGGTCGGCCGGTGGTTCACGGGGTGCGGTCCCGCGCGCAAATAAACAAAACAGCGGCGGCGAGCGGTGGAAAAATCATAGTCGCGCGACTTTTCGCACTTTGCCCGTCGCGCGATCGCCCGCGTCGACTTCCGTCTGCGACGGGGGCTGGATGCTGGCTGGCGGCGGCGGCGGCGTGTGAGCGAGCGAGCTGATTCGGCGAAGAGAACGGTGGTGCGAGAGTCGTGTGTGCGTGCGTACGGTCGGTATAGGGATGAACGGGATCGCGTCGCGACGCCGGCTGGACTACACTAAACTGGAGCGTTGAAGCAACAGGAACGCCGACCGTTATATACCGCGCGCCGTCGATGCGTGCGAGAAGCGTCGCGGCGGCGCTTTTTGCGCGGGCGCTAGAAATTTTACCAAGTCTTGCCATCCAAGACGACTTATTACCACTCTGCAAGGCATTATTTTTCATAAATATGACTATTATCTTCAAAAACATTTTAAACAAACACGCTTGACATCAATAACTTCAAAGTGATTTGTTGGAAAGTCGCAAACATTCAAAAACATCAATCAGTTTCTTTGAAGTCGCATTACTTATTGATTTATCAACCATATTGGTATTTATAAACACGCTCGGAATAATAATTTATCCCCAAACATAAATTACCATGTTTTTAAAGGCGTAAATCACATTAAACATAAAAATTGACGTGTTATTCATCGAAAACTCGCCGAAGAAATTGAATTTTTCGCAAAATGTTATTTTAACATAGGCAACCCAAATTACACGTTAAAAATTTCACATTACAACCAATGTAACATATGCAACTAATACTACAAGTCACAAATTGATATAAATATAAAGAAAGTTGTGCATGTACATGATAAATTTATTAGGCTAATTTAAAATTTATAAAAATCGAAACACCCAGCTCTAAACCCAAAAATATACAAACAGCGCAAGATCCGTTCATTCATAATCATAATAATCAACAATATCACCGCTGGAAAAGTCGCCCTTTTGTAGCAAACGCAATAATTTACTAACGGTCTGCTCTGTGGTCAACACCGTGTTAGTTGTCTTGAGATTATTGAAGCTGGCTTGCACTGTCTCGTCCTGAATCTTCTCCGAGCAGACGTGGAACATTTCAGTGTCGACCGGCCCCGGGCTGTAGCTCAAAACAACGCAGTCTGGTTCTTCGACGGCCAAAACTTTGAAGTAATAGTTGCGTGCTGCCTTGCCGAGGCCGTACATGCCCGCTGACTTGAAGGGCACAGAACCAATCAACGACGTGATATTAACCACGTACTTCTTCATCGCGGCGAATGTCTTCATGAAAACCGGGTTGAGAATACCCACGGAAGATATGTTCAAATTGCAGAACGTCTGCCATTGATCAGCGTCAGTCAAAGTCGAAAGAAGATCAACAGTGCCAAGAGATCCAGCATTGTGAAAGATAATAGCGTTCTCAATACCAGCTGAATATTGCGCCGCTTCCCGCAGGACTTTTTCATAATCACCCAGTGACGGTTTGGATAAATCCAGTGCAAAACGTAAGACTTTGATGGTTTGATTCATTAACGATTCGGTTTTTTGGAGGTCGGTTTCCGAGCGGGCCACCTGCAATTACACAACGACTTTGAATTAGAAAAAAACGAGTCCGAAGTTCAATTATTGAAGCGAATGTAAATCGGATTGGAAAAAACACGTTCTCACTCATTTGCATAATAGCAGATAAACAAAACGACACATTTAAATTAACACTTAAACAGCTCACCAAGATAACAACGGATCCATTACATAACGCCTTCGACAACAACATAGCGATTTCCCTGCCAATGCCCCTGGATGCGCCCGTGACCAGCGCGACGGTTTTCTTCGACAAATCAATCGGATTCATCTTTATCTGAAGTGTTGAACTGGTCATTCTTTACCAGACCGATAATCTCGCCGCGTTTGATCGCAACCCTTTGGGGATAGAACGACCGGTAGATGAACGAGTGGCTGTTGTCAATGGGCTCCTCAAATGTGCTGTATTGAAGGGTATCAGTGTTCTCAAGCAGTTCTATCATGCACTGCTCGCGTTTCGCCGACAGCTGCTTCACCACGTCGGGGTCACGCCGAATTTTCGCCAATTTTTTCTCTGTAATCATCCACGAGTTAATCTTATGTTAATCTTATGAATATTATCCGAATCAAGTAGTGAAATGTGAAGACTTACCTAACGTTTCAAGATACTCGTCGGAATCTGGCAGGCGCTGCAGTGGCGCGTCGAAATTGTCTTCGAATTTATCAGAAGGTGACCGATATCCGCTGCTCGTCGACGGCGACTGGTCGTCACTGGCACTGGCACTGGCGGTGGCACTGGCACTCTTTATCGGGTTTTCGTTTTCTTCGATACGTTCCAGTTCTAACCAGGGATCCATAACCTTGAATATGATTCGTGTTTTGTTGTAAAGCGAGCGATTGCAGGCAATAAGTATATGTTATGCAGTTCGAATTGCAAGAAATAGAATGCTTACGTTCGGATTGTAATGCACTTGCAGTATTGTTCGATTCTCTGTGGATAAATTAATCACAGGAATTAAAGGTTTGAATATTTATGCGGTGTTTTCTTACGTGTGTGAATGTATTTGGTTTTACGTCGGTACGAAACTCGGTTTGACAGCTGGAACTGCGGATTACAAACAATAATCACACTAATTTTGCTAAAATTATAAATATCTACACTTATTAAACAAGCATAAATATTATATTTAATATAATTCTGTGATAATGACAAAAATTTCGAATTTTGATGCTATTTTGAGTTAATTTTTTCAAAACAAGACTTTACTTGTCACCTTGTATTGTTTCAATATTTATTTCAACAGAGTCTGTTTAATCAATTGTTTAAACAAATAACAAACAATTAAAACAGCCCTCTTGAAATAATTGTGTGGTATGTTTACGTTTGACATGGTATTGATGTAATATAAGTTGCCTATAGCGATTCACAATTTAAAAATGTGCATGTTATCGAATCCACTTGCATTCCATACACCTATTGAAACTGTAAAATAGAATGTTAGATTACTTACAGTTATTTAGAACTTTTACACCGGTTGGCAACCTTGAAATTGCACGTTATTTATTATATTATTATTGAAATCCAATCGGCGTAAATTTGAATTACTAGCGCAATTATTTTACTTCCGGTGTTCCGTTGTTACCATAGCAACCGATAAAATACGCATGCGTGCCCAGTAACACTTTTGACTAGTTCCGATTTCAAACTCGTGCGTTTACAGAGGGACGCTAGCGACAACGCAGATCAAAACAAAAAAACAGTTTATTTTTCACACAATCAGTTAGAATCTAGTAATGGCGTGCCGTTGCTGAACGAATTTGTTAAATTAAAAAGTATTTGTGCAACAATGAGGCAACCATCCGTGTACCAGTAACAAGTAAGCAACTTTTATCGACAATAATTTATTAATACGTATTAGAACAATTACAACGTACAGAATTCGAGTTAAAACATTAGCTTGCATCTGAATAACCTTATTTCGTAAAGAATACATCTAACATGAGCACTGCCGAATCGTCTACCTTCCTAAACTCGTATAAGTAAACGACGCTGGTTAATATTTAGATAAATTAATGTAAATAACGCGGTTAAACATAAATATAAAAGTGAAAAACTTCGAGTTCCATGGCAAATTGAATACGTGTGGGCAGTTACGCAGTCCTTGCGGAGCCATCTTGTAGACCCCGATTTTTTACTCTCTGCGATAAAGTTTCAACGTCTGTTGTTGTAGTGCTTAACTTCGATCACCACAGGGCTGACACTGCCGTATCTCTGCCCCGACTCGCCATCATAGTAAGTTCTAGTCGTGGGTTCACCCTTATAATGACTCCTGGTCACCGAGTGAGTCTCAGTGGACTCGATGGTCTGCAACGCGCGGCCATCTTTGGACGGCAGAGTTTTACGTGAAATATTCTGCGTGGTGTTAGTAATCGAAGGTCTATGAGGGTCGTCGTTCTTCGTGGTTGTATGGTAAGTCTCCGAGAAGTCACTACTGACGCTTCCTCGGCGGATGACAGTGTTACCAGCTGCCCCTGCACTTGGTGCAGATGTGGTCGCGTACTGAGTGTCACGCAGCCGCGTGGGCGGCTCGTAAATATCACCGCCGTACTTGGAGGTGCTCTTGAGAATCGACGTGGTCTTGAAGTTGCTGGCGGCAGCATCTGTATCCTCATGGGTGGTCGGGGTCATATAATACTCCCTGGTGGTGTACTTCTTGCTGAAATCATCTCCGAAACCATTCCCTGTGCTTGTGGTAGTTTCGTAGTATCTAGATCCCAAAGAGGTGTCCTGATGGCTGAGGAGATCTCGTTGACTCCGACTTAGACTGGAGATGAGTCCAGGACTTGTGAGTCCACTCAATCCTGGCTGCATATCGTTGATCCTACTGAGGTGCGGGTTGGACTTGTACATACCGGCCGTCTGGAAACTCTTACTCCTTGCTAGATTGGTCTTGAAAGTGCGTTGTGGTTTCGGCGGGCTGGGCTGACCCTGCTGGTGCTTGTTGATGATCGACACGTTGATGGTACTGTTGCTGTGCTCGTTGCGCTCCAGACGCGTCGGAGTCTCGTGTTTGCTCGTGGAATGCCTGGGCAGCGTCTGCGAGAAGCGTTCGTGCGTCGTGGCGGTCTGCAGGCGCGGCGTCGACTTACTGAATCGCCCAAGAGAGTTGATCGCCGATCTGAAATTGGCATTGGCGAAATTAATAATCTCTGGGGGGAGCGGTGGTACACACGCGGCGACACACACGCGATGCGTGGTCATTTATTACGCGCTCGCGTCGCATTGTGCGGATGGTGGGTGCTCTTGAATGTCGAGCGCGTAACCCGTCGGGAGGAAGGTGAATAAGGCGTGCGAGCGTTGAAAGTGACTCGGGACTTATTTGGCGATCGGTACGTCACTCAATGGCGCGCGGCGTTCGCCGCCTGCCCACGCGCCAAATTCGTGCGGCTGGTTTCGCCAATTAGCCATGAAAACCAGTCGGCATGTGAAAAAACAAACACTTGACAATGTCGGGAAAAAATGTGGGTTTACGATGGAATTCGCCCGAGAATAAGGTAACAAGGTTACTATCCGATTCGGATTCGAGGTGCCAATCATGCAGAGCTAGACGTCGCAAAACAAGTCAACATGGAAATGAGTCCTGCCAAATTTGGCAGCAATATTATAACCCACAACCACGATACATTCTACTATACATCCATGCACAAGACCAGCATGCAGGTGAAATTTACAGTGCGCTGTATTCTAATGCTCCAAACAGTTAAACAAAGTGCTCCTTGCAAATATCGTTGCAAAAACTGCATTATGTGCAGAAATTAATTCAGATTATAATACATACCCAGTTTCGGTTACAGACTGCACTGAATCGTCAAAAGAAACGCAAGATTTGTAAATTTTCACATTTATTCATTAATTTTGCCAATTATTACAAATTTTTACAATTTAGTTGTCGGTCTAACACTAAAATATCCTCGATTTAAAGTAAAGAGGAGAGAAAAATGTGAAAACGAATTTTCATCCTATCTCAACTAAAATGTATGCTAAACATTACAAAATTATTCTATATGTTCAATTCGTTAATGGTCTCGATTTAATAAGCGTATAAGCAACGTAGAGGATTTAACTTGTTTCGTGGTCCTCTCAATGAGCATGGTTAATTCATTAGTCTAACTAGTAAAATGTAAAATGTTGTCAATGTTATGAGATAGCAGCCGGTTTTAGTTGCGTGCGGCTGGCAAATTCGGCTAATGTAATTATCAAGCGGGTCCTACCTTTCTTCATACTCGATCCGTCCGGAGTCACGACCTTGTCGTCTTGATGTGCGCGCTGGTTTCACCCCATCGTACTTATTCTCCCTTCCGTAGATACTCCCCGCGAATGGGTCCTCTCCCAGGTAGTACCGCTGCACAGGTTTGTCCATACTATGTGGTGTTCCTGTAATATCCCTGTCGATTTGATGTCCTGGCTGGTAGGATGGGCTGGGACTGCGTTGTTTCGCGCGTTGCTTGGCCTTGCGCTCCGCGCTCGCTGAACGTATCTTGCCTACTAGTTTACGTATCGACTGACCTGTGAATGTTGTTAGGAATAAAAAAAAACATTAATATGTATATTAAAATTTGTGATTTGTAAACGTACCAATAATATTCCCACTTTTTTGTTTTGTTGGCACAGGTGTCTCCCTGGAATGGCTGGAACTCGTCTCTGCGAAGCGGGTCTTCTGGATCTTCTTCTCTCCTTGAATGGGTGGAGGTGTTGGAGGTGAGTAATCCGGCGGAGGTTCCTCCGGTTCCTCTTTATCTAATTTTGTCGGCGTGCGGTACCCACTATCGTACCTGCTCTCTTGTGAAGTCCTCTGTCTCCGTTGCCTCTGAGGAGGCACTGGAGTAGAATCAATAATCTGATGACTTGGTGACCGCGGTGAGATGGGTGACCCTGGCGATCGGTTCATCGTCGGGGACGCCGAGAAATGTCTATAATCTTGCACAGGAGAGCTTTTTGTCTTGTAATGAACAGGAGATCTTCTCTCTTCCTGTTGTCTCCTCTCAGACCATTCGCTGATCCCTTTAAAGTACCCGCTTTGTTGCTGCCGGTTTGAATGCGTGACCTGTTGGTGGGTTTGATGATGGTGCGGTGGATTGACAACGGCCGGTTCGTTCTTCGGGGAAGACTTGATGGTGACATTGAAGAATGAGGTTGCCGGCGGTTCTTTCTCATCTTCATCTACAAATGAGTCTTTAGAAGAGCGGCTTTCACTGCCGAAGTGGTTTTCCAACCACTTGGAGGTTTCCACCTTACGGGTTTCTTCCTCAGCATCGAAATCTAGCGGTCTGCGGGTGAGAGCGTCTTTGCGTTCTAAGAGACTGGTGCCGGGGGCTGCATCTAAGCGATAGCGATGCATCTGGTACTGTCTCTGGTTGGTCCTGCGGCGGGCTCTCGCTGAAAGGGAGTCCCAATCAGTGTCGTCCAGTCCATCACCTCGCCTTTCTCCTTCGGTGGTCTCGCCTTTGAAGCGCATTTCGTGACCGATCTTTACACCGTCCGCATAGTAATCAACTTCTTCCTGTTCTCTTGCTTTGAAGTATCTAAAACAGAAAAATCATAATTTTCGTAACCTAAGTAACTGAATTGATTGATACCGGGTACCTTTGGGAACTCTCCTTGTGCGAATTGATATCCTCGCTGGTTTTGGGCAGTTCCCGATCATCCAACTCCTCGTGCTCGGTGGTCCGCTGCGTTTCGGTGATGATCTTCCCGTCCGCCTGCACCGAGCTCAACTCACGCGTCTCCTCCGTATCGGTAACCTTGTTGGATTTGTTCGTGTCGCGGATCAGCCGCGGCCCGGTCGACACTAACGTCTTGCCGGCTTCGCGCGCGCGAAGCACCGAGCGGACGTCTTTGCGACCCGAGTTCACCGCCGCTAGGAAGTCCTGCAACAACACAACGCACGCCACATTAATGTTCAACATTCCATAAACAAAACAAGCGGCGTATACGACTCGCGCACATATATAGTTTCACTTTACATGCTCCGAACGGAGCGGATATTTAGAAACTTGAGCTTTGCGAGCGTTGTTGAGGTACGTGCATTTGCAAAGAGTCGTTAATCAACGCACTTATTAATAGCGAATGCTATTGCCTGCACTATACCAGCCATAACAATATTTTACAGCTTCGAGTAGGTATTTACGGCAAAGTTTGTTTAATATAGAGATTCAACTTTAACAGCGCGCTGAAGAAATTAATACGTATTTAGACTATTGACTAGAATTGAATGCATGGATATTTTGTGTTTGGGTTTTGCCATGTTCGGTTTTATTTCGTAGTGCTGCGGGCGATCGTGACAGAAACGAAGAAAGTTTTTGGCTCCCGGCGGTAAGTTGTGCTCTAACATCAACGGCACAATTATTCACAAACCTCTTAAACCTCCAGTACGAGTGTATAAAACAAACAAATATTTAATAATTTCAAAACCAATTCAAGGCTTTTGCAAACAAAACTCCCAAATTCAGCGCATATCAATTTGTCTAAGGAGCGTTTAGCTTCACTTAAAAATCTGAAATATGAATTGAATTACGTAATGTGGGTAATTTTCTCGACATTTGATCGCGCCGATAGGCCGCGCGTGAGTTTAACACACGACGCAGGTATAATTATAATCGCGGCCACAAAACGAGCATCGTAATCGTAATTGCGATCGGCATCTTCTTGCATTATTTGTGCGCCTCGCGCGTCTTGTAAAACACGAAACGAAAAAATGACGAAGAAGAAAAAAATTAACGCGCACGGCATATCAACAATACGGGCCGCGCCAAACAAATAGATATAATAAGTGTAATTACGACGATTAGCATTCGAGCATTCTCAGTGTTCTTCATCGCGCTTTTAATTACTCACGTGCATGGAGCAGGACGAAGCATTTTGCTAACAATCCGACGCGCGTTACAAAGTGTTAACAATGTCTGCGTTACGTTTTTATCATTTATTAAAAGCGTATGAGTATGATAATTGTGTTTGCGCGCTAATGCAATGAAAGCACATTACGAGCGCGATTTTACGCTCGGCGAATTGAATTTGTAATTCAAATTTCTTCATAACGAAAAAAATGAAAACAGATCTAAGTTAGGTAAAGAAAAACGGATAAAAATCTATAGATTTTTGGCTTGACCTATGACCGTGCGCCTCCAAAACTTCTCTCACATTTCACCCGTCATAACTTGTGAACATCGACAGCAAACTATAATAAATAACGCGTTAAAGAGACAATCTCAACCTCTCGCGCCCGTGGAACTCTTCTCCTCTTCTCTGCTTGAGAAGAAAAAAGTGTGTAACCTTGCGCGCCACACTGACACAGATAGAACTTATTATTTTTCGTTTATTTACGAACGCGTCGCGCTCCGCCACTTCTCTTCCATTCTTCTACGCGCGCCACGATCCTCACACTTTTACGTACATGCCACGATATGATTAATAATCATCCGCGATTTTGTTCGGCGTGTTTGTTTCGCGGATGCGCGCCTCGATTACAAGTGGAACAATGGCGCTGCCGCGGTGTGTGGATCCTCCGAAAGTAGTCGAGTTCAAGCATGTTAATGTTGTAATTTAATTTCGAACGAAAACAACGCGAGCGGATGTCCCGGCCGCTGCGATAAATCATGCAAAGCGATACCGTTTTTTCGCGTTTTAATTGATCCTAATTGACTTCAGCCTGGATGTAATTAAAGCATAATTAGCGAACAAACGACGCGACGTGAATTTCACAAGCGTGCAAATATTGGAATAGGTTATTAATTCAATCATTCATAGAAATTCTCGTTTTTGAGTAAGAAAAACATTAAATATTTGCATGCATTACGATTTGACTGTTAAATAATCCACAATTGTAGGTATCTGGTGATTGCATTTTCCGTTTCAGGCCACATCGGCTGATAAATCATAAAATGAACCAGTTTATTGGCAAAGAACCAGTTTATCTTTAGCTATTGACTGAATTGTTGAACGAAATAAACGTCAAAAGCATTCCAAGTATTTCTACCAGGAAAAGTTGTCTTTTACGAGCGCTCGCGACCATTCCAACCGATTAATAGAACAGCATTCGTGATTAGGCAGCAATTTCAATGGAAATTTCAAAATGCGCAAATTTTTCAACCGAAAAACATTCATAAATTTACCTTATTAGTATGCGTACTTGATTAGTATAATGTTAATTCGGTCGTTCACTCGATTTAATTGGCTTTGCACTTGACACAAAGTCGATGAACAAATTTGCACTTGACGCCGCAGTCGCAGTAAATCCAAGGATGAACTCACTGCACTCGAGTGAGCTTTTCACTTTCCGACCGCGCGCCCTGAACGAAGGGACACAACTGACGCGGCACCGTCCGTCAAGTCAAAGTCAAAGTCTTCGAATTGTTTGTCTTTTGCGTACCAGCTGTAGAGTCCTTGAGAGGCACACGAGGTCCGGCGACCTTCTTGCGTTGCTAGCGCTTCTGCCCCTTTCTTTTGTCCGCGCGCACACACTGGACAGCTTCACCGGCGTTGTCTTCGGCAGGCCGGAGGTTCGTCGGATCACGGAGCAGTGTCTTCGCGAGCGCGGTCGGCGAAGAACCTGCGGGCCGCGGCGCGCTCCGTTCCTCCGGTCCGACCGGGTCCCAGCCAGTCCCACCATGCAAGCGCGCCTTTTTTCTCTTCTTTCTCTCGCGCTGCGCTTCTTTCGCCGGGCAGGCCGGTTCGTACACGCGGACGCCTCATGTAATAACCGCGCTCTTCTCGGTACTCGGACGCCGTATCTGCGCTCGTTTCGCTTTCCTCCGAGCGCCCAGCAACGTATCTGACGATTAAACACGCGCAAATCTAACCGACACACTTGTACTCGCAGTGTGCAAGTGTGTTCATTGCCATCAGCGAGAAACAACGAACTTTTCCGACTCAAATCCAACACTGGATGCCTTCGTATCCTCCATCTGCAAATAACGCTCCTTTATTTATTTGCTCTCGCTCGGGACGCGCGCATCGTAATTCAAGCCTCAAAACTAGACGCTAGACACACGTCGAGGACGCGTCCGTGTCCACGTCCTCGGCTGCTGCTGCTGCTTCTATTCGTCATTCTTCGTTCTTATTTGTTAGTCAATTATTTCACTCCTCCGGGCCGCGCGCATCCCGCATCCTCTCACATGTTACACATGTTAACAGCGAGCTTTGCATTCTGGTTTTTGTCTTATTTATTCCTACATACTTAATTATTTTGAGCACTTGTTTTGGCAAATTGCGTGCGCGTTTAATAGCCGATTAATAACGCTTAATTAACCAGCGCGTTAAGAAAGCCATTCGATAAAAAGCGACTATAAATCACAGCTCGTAAATTTTGTAGATCGATCAAATGCGCCATGTTTTGTTTATGTTTGATTCAACTTTGCCATCCGAGCGCGCGTAATAATGCAAGCAAGAACAAATGGAGAGAAGATTGAAAGCTGCTTCTTTCCGAAGCACATAAATTACGCGAGTAATTATACTTTTTAATAACTTCTTTGCATCCCAGCAGCGAGTTGCGGCGCGCAACCACCAATTCAGCGCGCGGCGTTTGGTTCCAGTACCAGCGTCTCAGCGCTCGCAATAAGTCCGAGTCGAATTAGTAGTTAATGTTGCAGTAGAAGAGCTCATAATTGCAGACCGTCGGCAGACGGTTTTTTGTTTCGTTTGTTTTCATTTCACGACGACGGCCACAATCGCGCCGCGGCATCGCCATTCGACGTCGACGCAAAGTGAAATTTCTGACCAAATTAATTTCGCTATACCAGAACGAGTTCTAATTCTAACGCGCCCACTTTGAGAGTTTTACTTTTCGCGCGATTATTTTAATGGCTATTTAATTGCACATTGCCTGTCCGAATTGTTTATTAAGCTTCTAGTTTTTGGCAAGTGAAACGCACTAGAAACTACGACTGGTTAATGATTGAAATTTGAAGTTTTTCGTGCAATTAGGCATTGATTGTGGAGAGATGGTTTTGAGCATGCATGACTATTCGGTGTTTTATTGTTCGGGACCACACCGGCTTAGAATCGCGCGCCGTTGCGCAACGTGCATAAATTCACCGGGCGTAGAGAAAGGTCGATTTCATGAAGGGTGTGCATAAGACAACAACAATCAAGTGCGCCGAACGTACGGATCGTTTAATGCCGCGTCGTGATTTACAAAATCGTATAATTTATTACATTAGTAAATCACGGCGGACGTGTTTTCGCTTGGCGCGCGCGCGCGCGCTTCTCCGCCGTGCGGTCGCGATTTACGGCGATGAGCTGAACGAACTGATTGGATGTTAAATAATACTGACGCTCGTTTGCATCGCGCATCTCTCCGGCGCGGGCACAATGGACAATAAAGGCACGACGCGTCTTGCGAAATTTTGCCAACACCACGTGAATAATTGCCTGATTACAACTATTCCATCATGAAGAAATCCTCCCACAAAGCACTGGAAAATTTTACTCAAGTATAAATTTTACTCGCGAATCTTCACGCGAAATTTTCAATTATTGCATAATCATATAGAGCATTATTTCTCATTGCGGTCTTCTTCCTCCTCCAGAGTGAGGTAGTAGTATAAGGTGTACATGGCATCCGCGAAAAACCACATTGCCAAAGCCACTGTAGACGCAGCGAATAAAAAGGACCCAATGCCACAGTGTATCGTCTCCAAACCATAGGTGATTTCTTTGACGACTATACCATGTGGATAGACGAAGTACCCCAAGGAGCCCACAATCAAAGACACCCCAGAAAGCATGGTTAGCAATGCGTTGAAAATTAACGATGGGATGTAGTCCTTGTTTGAGTGGTACCAGATCATAATGCCGGTGAGGTATGTAGGCGTCCATAACCCGGCCAGGAGCATCACCAGGCCCCAATACCAGCAACAAAACACGCCTGATTGAATTATCGCGGCCCCAACTAACCAAATCATGACCAATATACTCTAAAATGATCATGGGAGCAATTTTTAAGGATTACCATGAAAATCTCATACCAGTTCAAAGACTTTGAGGATAAAAATGGTGTCGCGAACGTATTCCGCCATTTTCCGAATTTTCTCTGTTTAATTTTATACACTGATGGGTAATAGAACGTTTGTATGACAAGTCGATTTGACACAAATTGAAGGTACACCCTGTCAGTTGTATTTACGGCTGACTAGATTTGATGGTATACTGACCTCATCAGTGATGTCGCCAAGGTGTTGCACATCTTCGGTTTCCTTGACTTCTTCGGTCTCCTCCCTGGAAATAACGCGTCGCTCCTTTACTTCGCGTACCACTCCGTCAGGGTTTGCCACCGCGACCCACTTGCCGCCGTCCACTGCATCTTTGCCTTCTGTGATCTTGTACAGGTCGTCATCTTCTCCCAACTTCTTTAACTAAAAGTAAATTTAAAAAATAGTAAATTTCTATACTTTGGGAGGAAATTTAAGCAGTTTTTGCTTACTTCTGTTTGATGGTGTTCCTGGGTTTCACTATCCTCGGTGGTATTGGTGGTGACCTGCGGACCTGAGTCCTCCACGACCTTCCCATCTTCGAGGACCACTTGTCGCTTAACTCTAGTCTCGATTTGTTTGGTGTTGACCACCTCGGTCTTCTTCTTGCTCACCCATTCCTCTGCGAATACGGAAATCGATGATTAAATTAGCATCATAATCATACGAGGCTTGTTATGGTGAAAGGATGTGCCATTAAATGTTTATGCAAGCAGGTCGGATACGAGAGTCAGAATCTAACATCTTCTAAGTTGAAGTTATAGTAGAAAGTGTTGAATTGCAGGTATTACCGCCTGCAGGTATTCCTGTGTTTTGTGTTGCCTATAGTCAGTGCATTGAAATAAACTTTAAATAAAGTTATATGTTTATAGGTAGTTATAACTTAATGGTAAATTAATCGTTAATTGCCACTTGGACTTGAACTGATTATCTTAACCGAGTGTTAGGTGATTATGAGCATGTGTGAGTGCTGATAGAAAACTCTTACCTTCTTTGGTAGTCGCGAAGGTGTCGCCTGATTGAATCTGCGTGCAAAACAACGGTTTAATGTGGACATACGATACAAAGGTCACGCGTCGCCTCGTGGACGTACGTGGACGAAATGGACCGTGAAGGTCCGATAATAGCAAAATGACAACCATCCAACATTGCACACGAAATGCGCGCGCGGCTTTTCGCTTCCGGAGTTTCAAGTTCCTCGTATGGGAAATCACAACAATTAAATCAGTTTTATCCAATTTTTAAAATACGTTTCTTTGTTTCTCCTGGGTCACCATATATTTTATTAACGTTGTTGAGTTTGGCGCTGAAAAAAGTTGGTTTATTCGCGAGTTAGCACCTCTTGCGTATTCGGCTGTTTGTTCTTCAGTCGCTCCGTGCGAGCCACAATAGGACACCGCTCTGGCCAGTTGTGAACACAAAGGCACAATAGACGAGACACGGCAAGTCCTTACACAGTATACAAATACGTGTCTAGTACAGAAATATCGCTGTGCTGGTTGAATAACAAACAGCGAAATACGCAGAACGCGAACTCCGGCGTGAAATAAATGGCAGCGCACACACGTCGCGAAATAATTAACCTGTTGCGTAATTATTTATAACATTTATAGCGCGTAGCAAATGCACTTTGCGTACGGTATACGGCGGCAGATAGATAAATCGCCGGCGTGCTTATCAATGCGCTAGAGGCTCGGTTGCGCTGGCAGGTTGCGTTTAATGTCGACGAGCGTAATTGCCATTTTGCGCGAAGCGAGCGCAACAATCCTTGATTGTTATTGATATTGTTGATTCTCGCGATTGTTGTCGTGACGGGCGTTCACAATCGCAATCAAATTGCAACCGAAGAATGCCATTTAACCATCATTTGTACTACTTACTTTCAATACGAATATCAATCGTCTACGTGTGATTAAATTTTGTATTGACATATCAATCATTCATTAATTAATATTCGAAATCGAAGTCTACACACTTCCGCTTCCGTTCACAGGCGAGTCTAACTAAAGTCGAGTGCGTGTGGCTGGCGTGTGTTTAATTAGCAGCGCGTAGGCAGCGCGTGTAATAACTCATTGCGAATTTGCGCGTTTCGCTTCATGTTAATTAATCACATCAATTCGCATGCGGCCGACGTGTCCAACTGATCAGTACGCAGCTCACGATCGCGATAAATCAGACCGATGGTGGTCAATGCAATCGCCTCGCCGGATCAATCAGGCGAAATGAAATTTTGATTTCATTGCTATCTCATTAATTACGCTCGGGAAAACGTTGATTGATTTACTCCGTAATTATTTCGGACATGATTAAACTTTATTACCTTTGAAATCAAATCATCTTACTTCAGCAAGTGAGTTGAATGTGGTTTTACGTAAGTTTGCACAAAGATCATGCGTTTTAATCGCCTTCGGAGCGGTTTCTTTTGCGAACAATTACATTCACCGTTTATTTACAACTAGAATTTCATTGATTCACATGCGCGTAGCAAAACCAATAAAACGGCGCCGCGCAATCGTAATAATCGCAAGCGGTGCAATTGCGACAATGCTCAAATCGAGTGGCCGAACAAAACGAGTCGATCGGTATCGATTCAATCGCGGATTGTTTATTATATGCGGTGTGTATGAAAAACGATGCAAGTGATGCAACTTTATGTATTTGCTTATTGATTTCAATCAAAGCTTACGCAATATCAAACGATTTTATACAATTTTTAAACAAAATAAACGTTTATTTTTTATTTTTTAGTTTACTGGTAAAGTTACGCCACAAGTTTTTATTGTTGTCACTGTTATTATTTAAGAAGATCACACAACACGCACTTTCCGATGTCGATTCGTCGTGCGCGATGGAAACGTGAATGAAAAGAAAACCGAAATGTCGCACTGGCACGGCAATAAATAAAGCAAACGCGCGTCTTCGACAAGTGCGGCTTCAGCGCTTTGGGCTGCAGTGCGGCCGCGCGCGCCGCCGGATCGCGTATGAAAGTAAAATTGAAAATGTAGGTGAGCGCAATGTGCCTGTAGGTCTCTGGGCTGTCTAACGGCGTTTGCTCTATTGCGTCCATCTCGCGTTGCTCAAGCCGGACCGCGCAGCGACTCCGACTCCGAGTCTCGGGGTGTTAATTTGTGAATTCGCAACAATCGCAGCACCAACTCACACACAGCAGGTATGAGGAAACGCGCGGCCCGCAGCGGAATCAGATAACACAAACACACCACCACCGAATACCGAACAGGTGAAACAGCGAGACAATGCTGGTACTTCACATTATTCGTTAGAGAAAACGTTTATCGCGTGGTTGACTAATGCGCGCGCCGTGGTACTGTAATCCTAATAGGCGCACGATGGAAGACAAACGAAGAGAAAAGTGTCGGCCGTAACGTTACATCATCGGCTGTAATAGACGAGCGCAATAACAATGCGCGATGATGTTGGAAAACGTTTCGTCGCTCGTGTACGTGATTTATGTCAAAGATCCAAACGCACTCAACAAAGCACAATCAATGCCTTTGTGTACACGCCAAGTACCTGCGCGTATTTAAAATTAAAACACTTTGATTGGCGCAAATATTCGCGGAATGCGAACTTTCGGTTTCCAGTGCGTTCGGCACAATTTTTCTTTAATATTCGCATTTGCGTTCAATGTTGAACTTTGCAATGCACATTTCTACATTAGAGATAACCGCTCGAGGTGCATTATATTACCTACATGCATGTGCCGAAGTGTACCGTGAGAAGTACGCGCGCCGCGCCGCTGTAATAAACGAGAATAAACAATAAACAACCGCGCGATATGTAATGTTACGTGAGCGCGCGCCGCGGTCCGAACTGTTGCAAAAGCAGCTTCGCTAAATTCCCGGCCACAATGCAAGTGCACGCCGCCGCCAGCCAGCAACGAATTGAATTTGCAAACGTGCGCGACACGCACGTGAAATCTTCGACATTGCGACATTCCGGCTACAACGATTCTAATTGTGTATTGTTTTTTGCGCAGAAGTCAAACTCGTAAATGTTTACAATTTTTTACCCATTACCGCGCTCCTAATGAACCAATTAATTAATTATTCTCTTTGAACGCTACACGAATTGGTCATTAAATAAATTCATCGTAATTTACACTCGCACGACGCACATGGCGCTGAATACCGAAGACATTTAAAGGTATGCTGTGTGTGTGTACAACATCAATTATTATGATTAGTTATTTTCTATTAATTGCGCCTGTAATTGCATTTTAAACCTTGTAAATCTATCGCCGATACCTACCTAGAAATATTTACACAGCGCGTTTTGTTTGTGTGTCTCGAAATTACAATGGCGACGAGACAATATTCGAAACAGTTTAGTCAAGGACGTCACGCCAATTGAGCCGATTTCTTAATTACACCTACATGAACGTCGATTAAACTACGAAAGACACGAATTCAACCAAATGAATCGTGCGACGGTCCACTGATATTAATTATTTAATTAAAACATTAATAAAATGTTCAATGAAGCATGAACAATTTTAATTAGTACAATATTTACGTTGTATTTATAATTTTTAGTTAAAAAAACCTAAAAGTAATTTTATACAGAGTTGTGGTTGCGTGTATAGTTGGTTGCCTATGTTAAACATCCACAATGAATATAAAAATGTAAATTTTTCGTTTTTACGCGTTTCGTATGCATTGTTGGCTGAATTTATAAGAAGAAAAAAATTCTTACGGTTTCAACAGGTGGTCCAGCCTCATATCGCCTGACAGTCGTCAGCTTATGATCGGCGGGAATAAGACTAGCAACTTCAGTCATGCCTGCCGCATAAATCTCTCACAATCCTCGAAATTATTTCGTAATCCTCGAAAATCCGTGGCTTAAATCAAGATTGTCGCCCTTCGCTGTCGACATCTGGAAATAAAACAAACGCTTGAGATTAACATTTCGTACGACACGTACGAAGAGTGTGCTCTCGACGCACACGAGAAGCATAAATAATTGCGCGCGTAATCGTCGTCTAGAACCACTGTTATTATTGTCATGCTTGTGTTGTCATAGTCGCCGTAATTGCATCTCTTCGCCTGGCCCGAAGACCTGATGACAATTATTTCAACATTAAATACCCAACATTAACCTTTTAATATTTCATACAATATTTCATACGTGTACGTGTATGTCAATTTACAAAATGTCTTCGTTTTTTAAAGTTTTACTTAAGAATTTTTTTCAACAGCGGATATTGATTGGGTAAACTTTGGAATTACCAAAGTAAATACGAAATTACACGCTGTTTGAATGATTGGTGTGATTAGCAATAAATCGGAAATAATTGAGCGTGACAAAACACACGAAAATTGAGCAAAAAGTTTTTGCTTGTTTTTTTTTTTTTCATTCGCTGGAGAAGCACGCGGCGAACGGAATCATGTCATGACTAATTATTTAACATAATAAGCCGTCAAATCGGCGCGTACCAAACAGGTAACTTGAGTAAACGCGCATCAAGGTTCTCTGACTAATAATGCTCGTATCGGGCGCGACTTAATGAATGAGTTAGTTACGTGCGCGCACAATTCGCGTCCGAAAAACGCAGCAATTTGTTCGCTTAAATCTTTTTATAGCGCACAATTAGCGCGCGGGCATTTTAATAATTTCATTCTCGTTTCAATGGCGCTTATTATCCGCGTATTCTCTAATTAATGATGAATTAGCATGAATTGTTCCCGGGAACCTTTAAGGTTAGTGAAACAATGCCCCAAAACGTAAAACGTACTTGACGCCGGCGTAAAAGTCTCACGAGTAGTCGTAAAGGACGCGATTGTAATTCGGTAATTCGGCTGCGATAATTCCGGAGACGTGTGCGCAACTTGTGCAATCACACGTTTGGCTTGACCATCTGGCGAATTTCGTCCGGCTGATGACAATATCACATTTGATTATGTATTCATAATCCATTCGTGCTCACGTGTTACGTGCGGCTCTCCTTGAGCGACCTTGACTCAATTCAGGATGCCGAATAAGGAAGAGTCGACAAGGTGACGCCCGACGCTGTTTTCATCTCGTCGATCAAAATCGAACGAATCAATAACTAGAACGCAATATCATGAATAATATTTGTGAATTTCGCAAGATTTCTCACTTGTTGCTTAATTTTGTCGCGTTGCATAGGTACACGTGTTACCTGAGAATCTTCGGATTTAGAAAGTCTCGCTCGCCTCGCCGCGAGAGAATCTTCTCTCGCTGGCATCAAAGGTGTCCCAGTGTGTGGCGAATGTCAATTGATTTATGTACGAGCGTGTGTCGAGGATGCGACACGATTGCTTGATTCATGTCATTAGGATGATAATGATGCGAACGAAAGTGATATCAACGAATTCGGAAAATGCCAGCCATTGGGCTGCTGCCATTGATCATACTCGCGCACACGTCGCGATGCATGTCGCGAGGTTAAAGAACAAAAGTTCAGCGCGGAAGACACGATTGGAAATCATCCGCGAAGTGAATCGGCGATAAATTTGAGCATGTTTTATGTGCGTCTGAAGAGGTGTTTTTGTTTTTCGAAAGCGTAGAAAACGTAGTTTTCAACACCGAAGGCAATGACAATTTGTTCAATGGAAGTATTTTCCCATCGATAATATCAGCAGCACTCAGCTGCGATTGTACGATGTAATATAATACGCAATTGAATCGCATTCGAAACGAATAGATAAATTTCGAACATGAAAAAATCCACGTTGCGAGAAACGTTTCACACACGCAAATTTTGCGCGGCGCACCGAGCCCATGCATATTTTGAGTAATTTTATTAAGCTTTTATTACTTTGTTGCCTGCGTTTGCCATTAGTACCATTCTCGGTAAGACAAGAATAGTTTAACCTCAAGTATCGTAGTAACAATCAACTAAAGTTGAAGGAATTTTGATATTTATTCTCTACATGAACATTAAACTAAAAAATTTTCATGTGAAATTAATCGTTTTATTTTTAATCATTTTTTTAGTTGTATGTTACTATTGGACTTTAAATTAACATAAAATAATACGAGTAATAATTGTTTGCCTTTTCAATAGAAAAAAAAGTGAATCCGTTTGGCGAAGTATGAGAAATCCGTTCTCGCAGTCATATTTCGAAGAAACAATGAGGAAAACACGGTTAAATAAGACTTCGAGTAAAATCAGCGTATGAAACGCAATGAATCATCGCGAGTATTTGTTTGCATGTTAATTTAGCGTATTTTAATTTTAAGTTTTACTTTTTACTAAAGCCACAACGTGTGAAATTCAACGCGCGTTCTGAAAGTACTACAATAGAATAAAACCGTATCTAACGATTCAACAATAGTAATCACGCAGTATATTGATTGGAATATTGATTTTGGTTTAAATGAATCACTAAAATATATTTTCTACGAATTGCTCACAAACTTGGTACATGTATCATCGTAGCCGAACGTGTGTAGCATGCATGAAGACTTGTAATTGACGATTTTGCGATCGTGAAAGAAATCGCACGCATAACGAAAAAAATCTGAATGATTAATGCTCGTAACCTGCAAGTTACGAGTGTGCAAGGCAGGTTCGAACGATCGATACAGATTCCCAAGCGCAGTAACAACACCGCAGCCGAAGAAACATTTTTCTTCTATCTTCGGAGTGGCTGAGAGCTGCGATGTGATGCAATTCGCAGATAAATCGTGCGCTTAGTTGCGTGTTAAAAAATGTCGGCGGTTATAATCGTTCGGCTGCACGGCCGTCCGGAGAAACGCATTTTTAATGAGCGCGATAAGCGTGGACGTGATTCAATAAAAAGGCAATAAACAATGCGTACGATTAGAGACAGACAAACGCGCGCGCCCGGAGATCGGTGGTCCACTTCGACGCGGAACAATAAAGTTAGAAATAATAATTGCGCGCAATAAATCAATTCCGAGCGCGCGCATTCACTTAATTAAACACACTTTCGTCCAAGACGCTGATTTTTGCATAATATCTTTCGATTCCTGCGAGTTTTGAGTGATTTTTAAAAAGGTTACAGCAGAGATGTAACCGCGATGAGTCATTTGACGGACTGGTTTTGTCATCCTTCCAGTTTGCGACTTGTCAATAATAAAAACACACACATATAAAATACCAGCAATTGTTTAAGCATCGATAAAAACATCCGTTGTAGGAAAAGTTAAAAAATTTTTTAAGTTTTTTTGAATTTATATTACTTACAAAAGTTGTTTCTGAGTGTATCGATGATGAATTGATGTATCCACAATGGCACAGATGGGAAAATCGATAATTGCGCGATGATATCGGCCGCGAAAATCGATTTTTCGCGCACACGTGCGCGACAGGTATTGCTCTGCGTGCGCCGCGTACCAGCGAGCAAAACAAGCGCGCCGACGGACGTTACGTGAATGGGAAGGATTTGAACGCGCGGCGAGGCGGCGAGTTCGCGAATGAAGTCGGCGGTCGCGACGCGCGCCTCGATGATATTGAGACAGGTGATGTCAGCCCACTGAATGCCACCAGCCCGGCCAGCCCGATCGGCGAGACGACCAAAAACACACCAAACTCATACATACTTCAACCACACAACTAATACCACATGATAATCAGTGTCATAACAAAGTTTTCTCAAAACTTGAAACTTCTTTCAATCCGGTGCGTGTTATGTCATTGTGCAAACATAAAACATTGGCGTGGCTCAATAACGCAAACATTTTTTCTGTAAATTTTCTGAACGACCTGTTTGCAAATTTTCACTGCCCGCTTTTATTATTACTGCGTTTCGTTTGATTTGTGCGGATAGGAAAGTGGTGGGCTGGCTCGATCACCTTGTCTAGTAGGTACACATTCGATTGTCAGCTTCACATTCTGCATATCAACGAAGAATGTTTTCTTTGTACCACACTTTTTGCACTGCGTATTTTCCTGAATCGATCGAAGGTGTGTTTTGATGCAATTACCGGAAATAAATCCATGTGTATTCCAAACTCGATTGATTGCAATGTGTGTAATTGTTGTATTGTTGTGTGTCCATAACGTGGATAGGAATTGTTGTTGGATTTATGTTGTTATGTGCGCGCTGAGCGAACACCTACTTCTTCGGATTCCAGATTAGTTGCGTCACACACTTGCGCTGCTGTCTCAAAGTCGTTACGACGCGCGGTTCCCATTGATTGCGACGACAATTAATAATTACCTCGGGCGCACATGCGAATGCAAATTCCGAATTCAAATCTGGATCGAAATGCATATGCAAATTGTATGATTGATAGGATTTTCATTCTTTGTGTTGTAAAATTAGTTCAGAAAGTAAATTCGTTCAAATTCCCGTAGAAATCGATAGTTTTTGAGTTTGTTTGTATGTTTGTGACGCTTTCCAGCAAAAACTACTCAAGCAATTTTGATAAATTTTAGTATTCAGGTATTTTTGACTCAGGAAAAGCAAATAAACTACTTTTTGATGCAAAAATATAACTAAAAGAGCGTAAAAAGTAAAAATGACGTTAAAATGCATTATTAGCATTTTTTATATCTTAAAATTATTTTTTTTCATGAATCTGATTCATAGTTTGTTTAATAAATCAAGTTACTTATTGAAAAAGTTATTAACTTGATAAAGTTGTCTGCTGACTGATGTGAGTCTCAATTCGAGCGGAAATTAAGTTTTTAAACTGCGCCTGACTTCCCTGACAATACCGCGCGCGGTGAAAGCCTTTCAAAATCAATTTTCTTCCGATATTTTATTTTCGCTCGCGCGCGATTGCGAGTTGGCGCGCGCATAATGCATTCGGGATTTTCTAATCAACGCCGCGGTGCGCTCGCACAAAAACCCACATAAAACGCGTTTCAGCCGGCCGAGAACACACCTTTCAGCGCCAGTGTAATGCGGCGCAATCTTTATGCATCTCGAGCGGCCGATAAAAGCCTCGATAATCTTTCGAGTTAATTGAATACGGTTTTATTGCTACATCGGTTTCGTTTCTGCACACACGGCGCGCGGTGTATAACACAGCCACGTTATGGATATTGTATACTCGATTAGGTTCATTTATACATGCTCGGTGGTAAAGGAATCATGTTAATTATGAGTTGCGCATGCGCACGTTTAAACTATTATGTGCCTACAGAGAAAGTTTAACGTGTAAATATCTAGAAATGATAGAATTATGATGCATTACACGTGTGTAGTTAATTTAGTAGTTAAAAATTTTGGTTTTGTTGAAAGATATTAGACGGATGGTGTATGCGTGGTTGCCTATAGTCAATCTCTACAACTTTGAAAATAATTCAGACATTCATTTATTTTAGTGATTCATAATTTAAATGCAGTTACATCTATTTTTGGCTGTAGTTTACAATCACAATATAAACATACTAACAAAATGCATTCCAAAGAGCTAACTAAGAGCTGTTCGACATTATTATATAAATTTTAAGGCCTTTTCTTTCCTGAAATATACTTGTTGACTGGTGTATGTTCGGTTGCCTATAGTAAATGTCTACAACTTAGAATAAATCACATTCATTTTAAAGTATTTTCAGTGTAAATGAAGCTATATCTATTTTTGGCCGCAGCTGATTGAAGAAAAATTAATAACAATATAAAAATAAAAAATCAACCAATAACAAAAAACATATTTACGCCAATTTCAGCGTCTATTTACGCTTCTTCTTGCTGTCCACCTTGGCTGCCTTATCCAATTTCTTGAGTTTCAACAATGTAAGACACATGTTGAGGAAGTTCACGACATATGTCGATACGCAGACCACGCAGAAATCATAGAGAACAAAGTAGAGAATGTAGGCAAAGTAGAGTGAGAACAGGTTTGACACCAGTACCAACACATAACTCATTTTGGTGATGAAAAGTGAGTTCGACTGAGCTAAAAATTTACATAAAATGAAATAACACATCAATTAAATCAGTAATTATTGACATACCTAGTGTGGCAAGCAGACTGTAGGCCATAATACCAACCAAACTGTTTGGAACATTCAAAGGAGACTTTTCACCAAGTAACTTCCCAATGAAACCAAAACCTTTGCCATATCTGAATAAAAATTGCAATAAATAAGCATAAATCAATCAACAAAAGTAATAATACTTACTGAGAGGTGAAGACTTTTGAACAACTCATATGCTCACTAATATCACACATGGCTTCATAGTTTTCATTCACCGAAGCTTGCAATTCCACTGTATAAGCATAGATGGATAATGCCAAGCCACAAAAACAAGAGAATGTTAGCAGGAAGTTAATCACACCCACTGCGAAAGCCATTGTTGACCAGAATCACGTCTAATCTTTACGAAAGTTGAGTAGAACTTGAATTGCAACTTCGATTCTAATGGTTGAGACGTTGGCGATGATGTGTCGCACCCGAATTGGAAGATGTGTCCGATGCTACAGCGCACGCTGATAAAGCAACTAATTATTTTAATCAATTATGTTGCTACGTTGTCGCTGGGAGCTATGGTGTGAATTACGGATGCAAATCAACAGTTGACACGGTCGAAATCACGCCGATCATCAAATTGCTGTGGGCGATGGAATGTTTTCGAACTTTTTGCGCCAGTCAGCGGGTATTAATGATTTAATTGCGCTAGACGAGTAAACATCTGATGTTGTGGTTTTGTAAAGCAAAATGTACAGATTCTTGATGGCGTACAAGTTTAAAAACTTCATTTCTTGAAGAAATCTTGCTAAAAATCATAATTTTGAGTATTAAATAATTTTGGAGATGTTTTAAGACGTATATTACACTTTTAAATGTCAGTATTAACTACAAACATTGTTTTATTCATATTTTGTAGTTTTAAACTTTTTTAGATTAAAAACAAGAAAAATCTGTCAAAAAACTTTAAGAAAAACAATAATTTGATGTAAAATCTTGTATTTTTTATGTTTTTGTAGTTTTTAATCAGGTTTTTCTGTTTAATTGTTCAATATTTGCAAATTTTGTTTGAATTATGGTTCTTGCTGTGGCTGATCCATTATCTATATGATCTCAGAATTTATTTCAAATCAATCGCACAGTTTTATTCAATTTATTGTACAAATTTTTGAAGCATGAAGATTTTCGTAACGTAAATAACATTTTGTGACGTTTGCCTGTCAAAGAAACTATATAAGAGGGTGCAGTGTATAATGAAAACGGAAAAGGTGTTGTAGAGCGGGAAAAAAGACGAATGGTAGCCATGAAAGGGCCGATTTTCAACATCTGCCAGATTCAAGAACCTTTGATACGCAACCAATGCCACAAACAGAAAATCATCAATTCTTAATTTTGCATATATTTTTATTATAAATCTGTCATATATATTCATTCTATGGTTTGTTTTACCTTCAGGATGTCAAAGTGGTCTGGTTCTCAGGGAAGTCCGGGAGTTTGGCAAGACGGGAATTATAGGAAGTTGAATGAAGTTGAACTCGTTGAAGCGAGTTGAGCGGTTGAGCGGCGCCACGGCAGCCGCAGCGGACGTTCGCGTCTTTCGCCGCACCGACCGGGATGGCGCGCGTGTGGCGCGCCGCGCTGGCGCACACCGGCGGCCCCCACCTGGCAGCCGAGAACAAAGGAATTGCCGCAGTGGAATACGACGCGCCGATGTTGGCAACAATGAACGTCGCCTAGTTAGGCGTCGATCCGTCAGGGGCGTTGCGCGCACCGCGACATTTTACATTGTATTGACTCTGTGTGTGTGTGCGGCCCGTGTCTTCGGCTTGCGACTTGTAAATAGAAACGCGACGAATTTTCGCAGCATCGTTTCGGGCTGGCCGCGAGTGCACCGCGCGTTCCATGAACGCGTCGCCGCCGCCGCGAGAGTTTTTCGTCGCGCACGTTGGCGCTCCGACGCGCCCGCAGCCAGTCTGTGTACGTCGTGCGCCCAGCAGCGAGCAGCCGAGGCCGCCAGCCGGAACGCCGTAGGAACGCGCACCGCGGCGGCCGCCGCCGACGACGACGAGTGTTGCTGGCCCCCGGCTGCGCAAGACTCCCCCGCCTCCGTTAGTGGTGCACCGCGACGCGGCATGTATGTGATGATAAAGAGGTGAAAGCTGGCCCGCGCAGCGCCATGGACGCCGAGGTGAAGCAGCGGAACCGGCGGAGAAAACGGGCCCAACGCATGCAGGCCCAAAGGGACAAGACGAAGAATGCGGACAGCAACGAGGAGGACGAGTCGCCGGTGCGCGAGAAGACGCCGCGCCCGCCCATCCGCCGCAAGAAGAGCAAGGATCCGCTCGCCGAGGAGGACATCATCGACGGCTTCGCCATATACGGATTTCGCTCCTACGAGGACCTGGAGGTTAGTCAACCGTCGTACACGCGCGCCCCCCGCGGCCCGCGCCCGCCGCGCGCACGCACCGAGTGGTGGCCCCCGGTGGCTCCGCCGTGCGTACCGTTAACTCCGCGACCGTCGGGCAAAACCCACCCAGGTAGCGCCGCTCGCGCACCAACAACCTGGTGCTGCTCTCCCAAAACGCCACTGAACATATGTTTGTTTGTTTACACTTTGTTGCAATCTTCAACAATCCGTTGCCGAAAATCAGCAGGCTGCGGCAATGATTACGCCACCACGTGTATAAATATTGACGAAATATTATCCAATCAATCTGTCACGCTGGATATCACAAATCACAATCGTTATTTGTTTAATGCAAACAACACTACATCACTACACATGTACTCTGAATAAACACGCATGGAAATGAGCGCAAAAAGAACGCGGCCGCGGGCACGTGCATTGATTTTCAACAAAAACGAAAAAAAAAAAATGATCATCATAAACGCTCTCGCGTCCAGTTTATTTACTATGTGGAAATTCTTATTGGTATTGGCAATAAATTACGGGCCATTATGGTCCTCGCGTAACGTTAACATTTACATTAGCGGCGACGAGACTATTGTGGCCTAGATTCGCGCTTGCTGGAAGTTTATTGAAGTAACAACTTCAACACACACACACACACGCGCACCAACACAAATAAATTCACACGCGGCGCCCGAAAAAACCTCGCTCTCGGATGCTCGGATTTTCTCTGCGCCATTCATCTTTTCATCAAGCACCACCGCAAGTTGGGATTAATTCGCGGCTAATTGATTGCCGCTTTGCGCGGTGAATGCATGCCAGTGCCCGCGATCAATTCATGCATGTTATTGTCAGTTTTGTGAAGTCATCCTTGCTTTTTTTTCTTGTAGCGCAGGAGAAAATCGAGGTGGTGTTAAATCACTCCGCGTATTACACAATCTTTTTCGGGTTCGCTTTCTTTCGGCGTAATTTCGTGTATGTGCATCGGAAACAAGCCGAGAGTTTCAAGAACGCGGCGTGTGTTCGCCGGCTCTGGTTCCAGCTTCTTTCAATTACAATTCGAATTACAATCGCGCGCGCAATTACAGTACAACAAAGCTCCGAGTAACAAACGCTCTGCAACTATAAAATTACATTAAAGCTCTCTCCGATGTTGTGTTGCTGCACGTGTTGTGTTGTGTATTCGCGGTAAAGTCTCGTGTTCTAATTCGTGTGTCGATTTGATATTTTTGCGCGAATTCGTTTGGAGGTTTACCTCGTGTGATAAACGCATTGCATGGGAAAATTCGTATGCGCGCCCCGTTCGTGTTTCGGTTATCTTGATTTCAAGCTTCACGCACAATTAACGCGCGTCAATCGTCCATCAGCACGGTTTCCACCGTTTTGGATTTAACACGGGCGCACGTTATAATCGACTTAATCCGCGAATTAACGACAAATTAAGATGTCCAATGCCGGCAGTTACGCACGCGTAATAAATCCACGCATAATTTGTGCTACATGCGCCAAGAAAACAATGGCACGTGGGCGCACCAAGTCGGCGCGTGTAATCGTAAATAAACGACACACGGCCGTATCAACAAACGGACGCGGTGTCGGATGACAAAACGTGCACACCGCCATTTTTGCCTGCACACCGCTGAGGAACACATGCATCGCGACGATATCCACGTGTGCGGCTGGTGGCAATTTCATAACGCATGTGTCAATTACAAACCATTTCGAAAATTAATAGAAATTAATTACGGCCACGTTTTATTACCGCGCTCGCCGTCTCGACTTTGATGTTGATTTAAGAGGCGGCATAAAATGCGCGCGGCTTACATTATTCTACACTGCACTGCACCTGTGTGTGCAGCGCGAACGGTCACAACAAAATAAAATATGATTAGAGCGCAAAACATAACACACACAGCGTTCAGAAATGTTGTGTTGGCATGTGTGTGCTATTAGGTGATTTGCAACTCTAAACGCGTGCGATTTGGTTTGCGCGCGCCGGAAACGATTTTATTGCGATTTTATTACACGCGTGTGTTCCCGCCGGTGATTTTTTCATTAAATTCGTAATTTATGCCTGCCTACACGCTCGTTTATTTATTGTTTCGAGTGCGTGCATACATAATTTTATTAAACGCGCGCGCGCGCCGAGATTTAATTAAATTATTTCGGCTTTATTCGATTGTTCTAATGTATCGTGCAAATAACTGATTTCGGGTTTATGCGTGTTTCGTTTATTCGGATATTTATGTTTGCTAATTGAGTGGCGCTTCGCGTTTTTGTGCGTGCGCGCACGGTGTGTGTTGGTTTTTTTATTTTCATTTCGCCGGGATTGGGCAATCAAAATATTGATCGAATCATAATGAACTGCGTTTTCGCTAACGCGGCTGCATTTGTTTTGCATCGCGGCGCGGAATTAAATTCAAATATTTACGAGCCACTTTGCTTGATTAGCTCGATTTCATTCGCAACCTGCATCTCGCGCGATTAGCGAAATAATGTCACCGAGCTTATAAACTCCTGTTGTGTTTCGTTTTTCACTCGCTAATAATTAATCAATCTCGTCTTAATGAAATTACACCATCGGCCGTTTGACGCATAATTTATCACGTGCGTAAGATGTTGTCTCCATTAATTAAATACCTGTGCAGCGTTTATTTTGTGCTGCTTTTTACAGAAATTATTTTAATTATCAACGCGAAAATATTTTCGTTTTCATGAAGTGTGGCGCAGCAGGCCGGCAAACAATGCGATGAATAAATAAAACGCGAACGCGGACGCGGAAACAACAGATTTCACGTGCGAGCCTGTCATATTTGCATCGGCCATTCGTGCGCGCGCGCGCTTTGTTTTTGTTAATTTATTTCGGGGATGAATTCGCGATTGTAGCGCGAACAAAACGCGATTCTTTGCTTGCGGCAACAGCCGGTAAATTTATTTACATTGCGCGGCCAGCCGCTCGTGAAGCCTGAAATGATGGCAGTTTGTTAAATTAAATATTTGCTTGTTTATGTTTACCCACTCGTGTTGAAATTCACTCCGAGAAAACTATGCCGCATTATTAGTTTTTCTATGTGCGCTGCTCGCATGTGATTTGTGCTTCTTGAAATCCTTATCAATTCATTAAGCGAAATTGATCGTGCATTAAAGCGTCGCGCGCGCGCGCGCGGAAAAAGCAAATTGCGTTCGCCGTTCCAATTCATTCGAGTTCGGCTTTTTTCTCTCGCGCGCGCGACTTTTCCGTCGCGGCCGATAAGGCAAAAGCGACACGCCACAAACGGCCATAAGCCATCAAGCCCGAGATGAAGGCTCGCCATATCCAGTCGCAGCGAGTCGCATTTGTCGCGGTACAATTTCGCGAACACGCGAAAGGGAAAACGAGATTGCGCGTTCGCATTGCGAATGAAGTTTCGTGTACGGCGTGTTGCGGCGAAACAAATTTTCCTCGCCGTTTAGTATTGAGCTCTACAAACGAACACATTATGCGTGTTTGAATGACTGTCGACGGGCGAACGTGGGGGAAACAAATGTGCCGTGCCGCCAAGGTGAGGTAACAAGAAAAAAACCGAAACACCCGAAGGGGATTGCTTGGGATCCCGCAGCACCTGCACATTTATTCACTTATTGCCGGCCACTTATATTTATTTATTCACTTATTGCTCGAAAGAATAACGAGAAACGCTCGGGACGCGGCACCCGCTCCATATTAGAGCACGCAATTAATTATAAAAAAGCTGCTCGTTTCTTTCATTAGGTATTGCCTATTCTTTGTGGCTTTTTTGTAATTTTGTAATGTTCCCCGAACCAATTTAGCTACTGGCTGCTACCGAAACAAACATCCACCGTATGCGTTGTGTAGGTACGAGATAAAAATAAATGTTGAATTTTCGAAATCCCTTCGGCTGATTCTCAGAAGGAGGTTTCAATGTTTCTGCGCTCGCCGTAAGCTACTTTACTTTACGATACACTTCACGGGCTTTCCACTCCGCACTCTGCTGGCTGGCTGTGTTTGTTTCTTCGCACAGAAACGTTTAGCCTGGGCTTGTTGTGTGTTGTGTGCGCTGTTCGTCTCTCGTTGTTCCTTTCATACCTTTTGCAGTGCGCATTGCGGCGCGTACGGCGTGGATTCTTTTTTCTCCGCCTGGCGTGCCTGCCATGCGTTATTGTTATTTTAGCATATTATATCCGCGTCGCGTGCTTTTTGCCGCACATGCGCGCTCCTGTGGCGAATGCTTTGTTAAATACTCAATTTCCCGGCGACTCCGACAATTGAAATCGAAATGTTACGGTGCTTGTCAAACCGCGCCCGCTAACGACCACCCAGCGGCGTGGCGGAAAAGCACGCACTGCTTTTCGTCAGCCACCATCAATTGGGCTCGCCAAATGTAAATATTAAATGCGGTTGTGTAACAATGAGGAGAGAGAGGAGGCCGCCTGGTGGTGCCTGTTACAGATGTTTGCCGGGGCGCGAGAGAGGGTTGAAATGCGGCCGGCGCGCAACCCTATCTTCAGGTATCCTATAATTTCGAGCGTCGGCCGGCCGCCGGCGTGCTGAATTATTTAATAGCCTTCAGATCAAATATTTACTTATCTATTGTTCGGCCGGAAAAAGTCGATGGGCCACACCGAAATGATCATTGTTTACGGTCGATGGATCAAGCATTTCCCGAGTGGTTCGTCACACTAATGCTTTTTCATTGTGCGCTTAATTTAAGCCGCTGGATCTCCCAAGAAGAAGGGACCCACGCTGGTATTTATAGCCGAGCGGATTGCGCTATGAATAAACTATCGAAATTAGCGGCGTCGATGTGAGATTACGCGTATTATAATTAGAAAAAATCTAATTCCGATGTAATTAATATCGCTGACAGTCGCAGTCACGCGCGCCGCATTTCGGAACGGGCAATTATGTCGTTTACCAATAATCATCTGTCCGCGAGCGCCCATCGAATGGACCTTCGTGCAACGGGACGCGACGTGAGCATCAGCCAACACGATTTTTAATTAAAGTATCAATCAGCGGGACGCGTCGGTGCGCATCGGACGCAACGCTCTTTAATTAATATTTAAACGAGTTATTTCTGTATCGGCGCAATTAATAAATAAATGTGAGATGAGGTTTTTTTTGTTAAATATTTTAGCTTCGTGTTGACAATAATGTGATTTTTTATGTTTTTTTGCCGTGGGGCGGTAAATTCATGACTAGGAAACTGGTCTGTAATCGAATTACATGCAGGCATGGTGATTGCGCGACGTCGATGAAGTGCTGGAATTATTCTGCTAATTTCGGACGTAATCGGAACACGAAAAGCGCACCACCAAAGCGAAAATAATCAAAAAAGGCACTGGGAAGTCTCGATATTATGAATAAAACAAATCCGCGCGCCGCTGTTGTTGGTTGGTTGGCGGCGGTGTTTTTCCTGTATGTGTGCGTTGTGCGCGTCTGTTTCGCGCGCGATTTTTAATGAAACGGCGAAATTAAATCGCCGAGCGCGCGGAATCCAATTTTTCCCATTTGTTTGCCCGTTTTTCCCCTCGAATTTTCGCCCGGTGTGTTTGCATTGAGCGCGCGCCCGCGAATCGGCCGGGGCCTCGTGTGCGCTTTTCATTACGCCCGCCACTCGGCACTACTCTCCGCGCGCCGCCGCCACCGAAAAAAACCTAAGCGCGTTTCGCTGGTTTTACTCTTTTATTATCGCCGCGCAAATTATTTGGACACGTCGCGTCGGTCGGTCGCCCTGCCCGGCAGGGAAAGCGCGTTTTCATTTCCAATATTTCCAATTTCGCCAATTTTTGCGTTTACAATGTTTCCAATTTGGCGGCGGGCGCACAATCCGCCGATTAAAACGGCGCTTGTTTCCACCTGGAAAATCACTTTTTGTTTTTCATCTCGCGCCGCCACTACAATTTGTTTCTAGTTATTTTTTTCTGGTCTCCAACGCGTATATATTATGTGACTCTTTACAGTTTACACAATTATCAAAATTACTGATACTTATTACAATGCGTATATTATTTATTTTCATTTCTTCATCGCGCTGGCCACGCCGGGCGCTTATCGGGCCGAAACGCCGTCGTTGTCGTCGTCTATGTTGATGTATGTTATTAACATGCTCACTAATGATACACAACAGCCGTGTTGTTAGACTATAACGAAATTACACGTTCTCGTTCTATTATTTCCTCAATTGTGCCAACGACTCCTTTTTATGCATTTATACGTAAAAAGTGAGTTGAACACAACTCACCATCCAAGCCCATGCGATTTAATGCTCGATAATAAGTGACGCTTTGGTTATTTTCGTCAGTTTTGATGAAGACAAGTAAAAATACATTTTTTTATCAAATAAAAACAGAGTTACGACTTATTATGACTTGTTTGTATTAATAGCGGTCGTAATTTGCAGATTGTAGTAATGCATAATTATACATTGCTGAATGGTCGATTAGTTAATTAATAATGAATGCTTACAGCGGTGTTTTTCATTGGCTGCTGTTCTCGCACGAGAATGCACGGCGGCCGGCTGCGGTCCGCTTCTCTAGTTGTACATTTTCTTTCCACCATTGTTCTCTCGTGCATTTTGCATTGACATAATTATTGTCGCTCGCAGCGCCCAGACCGCCGCATCGCCATGCATGCAAACAATCATTTATTAATTACACCGCATTTATTTGATATTATATTTATTATTCCATTCATATTTAATTGCGCGGCTCGTTCCCGGTCCGCTGCTTTCTGAATAATTTAATTAAAACAAATTATTAACAAACGAATTGATAATTTATGCAAACAAATTTCGCTGCTGTCGCAACACACGCACACACACCGGACGCCGTATTTAATAGTTGATAATTATGAAATCATAATTAATTGGATCGTATAATTGTTATTACAATGGTCACGATTATAGATTAGCTTCAAATTATAATGTGATTCCGGCACGCTGCGACGTCGAACGAGAAATTGATCACATAATGCAAATGTAACTCTGCGAGAGCATATAATCATAACCTCAGCAAACATTCGACGGCAATCATTAATATCAGTTAATTATAATCAATTAACAAGCTGTAGCGTTTAACGTCGATTAATTAGCATTCCGCGCTTTTTCATGCTGGCCGATTATGTGTTGGAATTAATTAGAGATCGGATTGTAGTTATTAGTTGGTTATTAGTTATGAAATGTTGATGGATCGCCGTCAGGTGACCGGACCAGGTGGTTGTTCGGGTCCCACTCGAGTGGGAGCTGTCGATGGCTGGCGGGCAGCCCGGCGTGGTACGAAAACAAAACGGGAGATAAACGGCTACACACGCCGAAAGCCCGAAGAACATGTGTCATCCGCAGTGTCGTCCCGCTCGTGCATTGTGTTCGCGTGTATTGAATAAAATACAATATTCATGCGGCGCGCGCGTTGTTTGTCCTGCCACCGAAAGGTAGCAAAACAGCAAGTCTGACACTCAGCTGACGACTGATTTTTTTTCGGTGTTTTCATTTGGGTGATACGCAAGAAACGTAGACATATGATGATGTTTCGGATTGCGTGGCCGACTGTGTGTAAACCTATACTCCTCGAACGCATGTGTTTCTTTCTATGCGCCCTGCATAAGTATATCGAATGCAGCCGGGGAGGTCAGTGCTCCGCGCTGCGTGCCTGTCCTCAAGGTAAACGGCTGGCATTCCAACAAGCACTAAACTGCTACCACTCGCGCGCGTCCTAACAAAAATCGTATCTATCTATTCCGCGTGCGGTGCGCTCTCGCGAAGGCAGGCGCCTCGGGTTCTATTCTTCGCCGGCGGGTACACGGCCGGAATGACGGCGGCGATACATTACGCCGTGCTTTCGCAATCCGCGAGCACTTTGCGCCATTGATTATTTCGACGAAGTCGTAGAACAACGGACGGACGGCGCACGCAGCGCCTCGTTTTCACGGCGAATGTAAATAAATCACGCGCGAGGGAAAAGAAACACAAACAAATTAGATAAATTGTCGGGAGAGAGGAGGAGAAAAGCGAAGGAAACGTCGAATTGATGCATTAAATAATATGATAAGGATGCGGTGGTGAAGTTTGCTCGTGTGCTGATTTTGGTCTTCCGTTTGTGTGTTGCAGGTCTGCCTGAAGATCGCCAGCAAGGAGAACGTCCAGCGATTAGTGGAAATTGAGCGGCCGAAACACGAACCGAGGCCGCTCATAACGCACCACATTTCGGCGCATCCGCCGCACGTAAGTGGATTATCTCAGTTTCTTTCCGCCGTCGTTTTCCTCGACATATTTTCCGGGCCGGTGCGCGCACACGCTCGTTTATATAACTTTCCTTTTGACATTTTAACTTGTGTTTTTCCCGTTTTGTTCCAGCCACTTTAAGTTGTGGCAAATTAAAATGGAAATAAAAGCGGTTTTATTATTTATTCCCAGTGCGCCGTGCCGCGCTGAGGTTTTATGGCGCGCGTTTTCGCGATTCGACGAGAGAGCTCTATTATAAAATCGGTAATTGTTATCGCAACACATGTTATTGTGAAAGTTTGCCAATTCGGATCTGTGCGCGCGTCCGCTCACGAACCAATCTAAAATTTCGTTTTTGTTTGTCGAACTTTTTTCGCACTCGCCATTGATTTAGTTTCCCTTTACGGTCTTTATTTTTTCGTCGTCGGAGAAAGTTAACACATATTGGGAAAACTCGAGCGAAAAACAGTCGTCGCACGCGCTTTTTTTGTGTGTGTCGTTTACGCCTCCGGCGCTTTTTTTCGCAATCGGCTTTTATAGTCGCGCGCGCGAAAAAAAGGTAAATAAATATAAGTACAGTCGGTGTCGAGAAATGAAGATCTAAAAGCGCGCGGCGCGGCGCCGGTAAGTGAATAAAATAACGCGCGACGTTTGGAAAACTTTTCGTCTGCGATTGTCACAAGAAATTTGCTGCGAAATTGACAAATCGAATTTCGCTCCGTTGCGCGCCGCATCACGCTAACCGGCCTCGCCGTTCACGTTTTTAATCTAATTTCGGATTAATTTCGACTCTGGCGAATATTCAATTTGGTGCGCGCGAGTTTTGCATGAGCGACGACGACGATAAGCGCCGTGCGCGCCACCGGAGATAGAAAAAAAAACGCAGCGAGAGGGCCCGGTGCGAAACGATGGAAAGAAGTTGCTCGGGCGATAGATAAAAGGGGCACAAAGAGGTCGAAGTAAATCTGAATTTATTGGCTAAGGCGTTGGGTTAATTAGTAACAAATTAAACAGAAAAAATGCACCGAGGGAGTTGGAACGCCGGGGAAGTTAGCGAGTTTGCGCGAGGGTGCGGGCCGCCGGCGCATGAATAAATAAGGACGCGCGGGAGGAAAAAAGATGTTTGCATTAATTCGATATACTCGGGACCGAGATAAAAGTTTCGGAAAGAGCCGGAGCACGCCAGGCCCGAGAAGAAGTGAAAGTGGAGCGAGCGATGGAATTGAAGAATCGAGGGTTGTTTTTTTTTTCTTCGTCGTCGTCATCCGGTCGTCGTGGCGTGGAAATCGCGTACAGGCGGGCACCATATTGGTATTCTGTGCGAAAGCAGCAGCTACCTAATACGAGGTGTACACGAAGTCGATGTTCGGTCGGGCGCAAAACCACCCCGGCCGCGCGGTAACAGCCTGTCTATCCGCTTGTGTTTCGAAGCTTTCGGTGCTTGCTGCGTCGTGAGAGCGAGCGGCGCAAGAGAATGAGGGAATGGAACGTCCCTCCGGGCAATTTCTAACTTACCCGCCACCGGGGTTGATACGAGACGCTGCGAGCGTACGAAATGTGCGCGAAATCATTGCCGAGACTCGGCGCAGCGCAAAAAATCGACCAAAAAACGATAAAAACACAATATGACATGTAGAAGATGAACATCGTTGAAAATGAAGAAACGCGCGCCCGAAAAAAACCCACACACACACCGCCTCGGGCTAAACATGCGCAAAAAAAGCGCCGGGGAAAAAGTGGCAATAAGTCGAAAGCTACAAGTTAAGGACGCCGAGCAGACCGACGACGACGACTCCGCAACACAAAGCAGACTAAGCACGTCGAACGCGATAAAAGAAATTACAATGAAAGAAAACAATTTGTCAATCGCCGGCGAAAACTATAAAAATAAACGTCGAAGCAGCAATTTTTATGCGCGCTCGCCGATTTAATTAATTCCTCATCTCGCCGAGATTTTCTTCCACACACTCGTCATAAATATCATAAACATTCGCTGCGTCATGCGAAATGCTTCAGATGGCGCATTAACATCGAGAGATCGCTGATTTATTCTTGTCAGGTAGCTCATCCGCTTGCTCTCCGGCTGCAACTTAAAATTGCGTTAAAATACTCAAAAGAAAGAAGATGGTTGTACTCTTTTCCTAGGATTTTCGCCTCGGCGTCTTTTTCGTTCGGTGGAAATTTCACCGTACATAAACACTATAATACGCTTGTATGCTTCAATATTTTATCTCCATATTACGACGCGAGAAGAATACGGAATTTTCCACGCCAGGGTCGTACTTTTCGGCCGCGGTATTTCAAAAGATTCTATTTTTTGAACGGGTTGTTTTACGAGCGCGCATTGAATGCCACTCTGCCGGTCGTGCGAAATATACTACTTATAATGCGATACGAATTTATGACATCGGCGTTCTTCTTCTCTCGCAGCAGACTGGAGCCGAACCAATCACATTGCCTTCTTGCGTTCTGATATCGTGATTCATTGCTTTCTTATTTATCACACCCACACAATGCCGACGTCGGCGTGTAAACAGCGAAGAAGCTTTTTCTACTGATTGTACGAAAAGTTAATAAAATCATAATTCGTGGACGGGTTTTTATTCCGATCATCGAGGGTTTAGAAGAGGAAAAATGCCTCTCGGGGTTATTTGAGGCGATGTTTTTCTCGTTGCCGATTTGTGAGATTGCCGAACGGACGGTGCAACGATACGAAATAACACGTATTAGATTACATGCGTATATCAATGTTGAAAACAAAATTTTCCGATCTTTTCTTGTGTGCGCTCGCGTGCGCGCGATTCGGTTTCATTCTTCGTTTTGCGATCCCTTTGTTCGCCGATTTGGTTTATGCGCGCTCTCTACTCGACTGGCTCCACGCTTTCCGCCGCCAGAGGAGTATTCATTCATCTGGCTGGGTTTCACATATGTATAACTCCTAGGAAATAAACTTCAATTTTTAGCGTCGGCAAACGTCGATGCGCATCGAATAAGACCCGCCATTATATGAATGTAAATATTTCGCATATCGAATCACTTATGCGTCGCGCCGGCTGGAGACGCGCGCAAATAGCGGCAACGCGCTCGGAAATAGAAAAATGCGACGCGATGAAATTGACTTGTGAATATTTAAATTGACACACGGATAAGTGGATATATTTTCCGCCGGCGCGCGTAGATAATTCATACAGAGTGAGCCATCGATTACATCATCGGAGAGGACGAGGGTCAAGACAAATACGCTTCACTCCGAAACGTTTTCGACTTTTAGTTTTGCATCAACCCCTCAAACCTCCACCTCGCACAGCGTGTGCGGTTTTTCACGTTTCTGAGCTCATCTGGGCTGCGGTCGCTCGTCGGATGCTATGAATTATGAATGAATGAATAAGCATCACAGAACTAGCAGCAACCCGGAGGGGTGTGGGTGCCGTGCGCCGCGCCAAAAACTGGAATATGCAGTCGTGCGGCATTATAATGTATACGAAATGTTTACGTAAGCCGACACTATAAATACCGAAATTATAATCTACCGAATAAACACCCGACACACGCGCGCCATAAACCGCCGCGCCGCGCAAACGAAAGCACAACGCGCGGTGCAAGAGCTGGTTAACAACGCGCGCATTTAATGCGCCTACAATAGTGGGCGATAATGATAATATAGGTTGATAATGAACCCAGCAGAAACAACGCGTGCAACGGCAACTAGCCCGACTCCACTTCTACTTAGGTGTTAGTTTTTGTAGTGTTTTTTTTTTCTTTCTTCACTTGAAATCGTCTTAGCTTTAATCTTTTCATGTGTTCAACTGGCGACCGGCGCACAAAGGCGTTTTACGACTGCGTGGAGCATTAACACACTTTTCATTCGCCGGCTTCAGCGCGTAACCACATTTGTAATCATTATCATAACACCAGGGCTAATAACAATAATAAATTGGACGCTTTGTTTGCGCGCACTTAACACCGTATTTACACATCCACTTATAGCGGTGTAATTCTCGGCTTATTAGACGCGTTTTACGCAACGTGTAATAAGTGCGAATCGGCGCGTTGTTGTTTATATCGCGCGCGGATGTATCCAGCCGGCGCGCTCATATCATCAATCATCAATATTATAATCTGCTGCTCGTCGCTCGCCTCGGGGAGTAAATTAGACCGCGAACACACAACACACGCGCTAATGCGTTTCCAATCGCCGCGAATTTGTCAGTCTTTTTGAGTGTGTGTATCACATCCTGCATTTGTTGAAAATAATTAATTAATTTTTAGGTATTTTAAATTGTAAGGTAGTTTTTCGTTGGTAATTTCGGTATAATTTGATCGTTTTAGGACGAAAATTACCTCGCTGAGTGTTTGTGTTTGTGAGAAAACAACGAAAGTGTCCAGTTTACACGGCGCTAATTATACCCACTTAGCGGTAGTTAATTAAAACGAGGGTTGAATGTTGGCGTGTGTTGAATAAAATTAATGACGCAACGATCGAATCAAATTCGAGCGTGACTATTGCACTAATACCCATTATGTGTACACTTGTTTGATTAGAAGTTTATTTTTATTGTTGTCGTATTGTGGATTTTATGAATGAGGGTAATCAGGCAATGATTGCGCGCTGAATGTATACATAGCCCCTCCGAACTTGCGTGTCTCGTAATTAAAACATCTATTTTCGTATATTTAGCATCGGCAGCGGCAGCGGCGTTTGCACGTGCGCGCATTGCCCGCGCGGGCGTATTAATTCTAATTAATCATGCGATCAAAACGGCGTTGGAAGAGCGCCGGGGCGCCGTGCGTGTGGTGTGTATATCTGCGGATGGTCGATAAAGCGCGTCGTCGGTCGATGCCGGCCCGCTCGCGCTTGTTTGCTGGCACAAGTTTGGATAAACTCTCTCGACTCGAGGATTCTTTCGCTTTGCGCCAACGCTCCTAGGTGTCACTAGGAGTTCCGGCGGCCGGGCGTACGCTCACTCTCCAGCTCTCCAAGAATTTCATCCCTCATCAACCCGCACTCGGAGAAAAGCCGCGTAAAGCTTTCCATTGTCTAGGACTTTCCGCACCGCGCGCTCGTGTTTCTTTCGCCGGAGGATTTGATGTTGTTGTCGGTTGTCTCCGCTTGTTTTGATTATGTATGCTTATTTTTTGTTGTGTCTGGGGTTCATTTGGTGGATTAAATCGCGCTCGATTTGTAAACCGGAAAAGAACAAGAGTGTCAAAGTGTTCGGCTCGCACGCTTCGCACCTTTCACGTTTTTTCACGGGTCGGGCCCCGCGTACGTGCGCTGCGCGCGTACTAGGGGATGATCTCCGCAAAGGTGCAGCTCGCCCCGGCGCGCGGAGTGCATGCGAGGAAAAAAGGCACGTAAGCGACACCGCAAGCGGGCGCGCTGACATAAGGTGTCGCCATCGCAACCCTTCACGCTTCACAGATAAGTCTTTGATGCGATACGCGAGCGCCGAACACGCGCCGCCACTACAGCCACCCATCCAGCCACTCGACCCCTCTTTTCACTCGAAAACCTTTTTAAAGCGGATTTTCTGCACGCTGCACATATTTATCATCCTGCCTCCCATCTCGCGCTTCGCCACGCTTTGACGTCGCACATCCTATTAAATATTTATTAATATGTTATGCGTGTGTTTTTATTTCCGCCGCGGTATTGCTTTAATTAAATAATTGCAAAGCGGCGTTCTGTATGATGTATACCCGCGGGCGATACAGACTCGCAAAGTTGCGCAGGCATGAATAATCTACCGACATTATACGCCGTGTAAACTCTTTTGATAGTTTTTATTCAATTCGCATTGCGAGACTGTAGTTACCACTCAGTTACCGAAAATGGCTCGAGTGTTTGGGTATCGCTAACGATGTCGCGGCAGTGGAAACGCGGAAAAGTTCGCCGGAGAGAGAGAGAGAGAGTGGGAGCGAAAGATTTCCGAGCGCACGAGAGCATTAAAAATTAACGAAATGTAATTAATTAAAAGGAACGATGCCAGCGACTTTAATTACCGTTCGAGGGCATGCCGGCCGTCTGACAAGGAGCGTCGCGGCGCGAAATGTGTAATGTTTGCGAGAGCGAATAAGTGTAAGAGTTGCGGCAAAAAGCGAGAAGCGCGCCGCCGGCGAGATTGCGAGACGGAGCGAGTTGGCGCTCGCGCCGCCGCCGCCGCTCGCCTCCGGGCTCTGGAAGTAAGTAAAGAGGGAACATGGGAAATTAATAATTAAGCGACGAAAAGCTTTTCGCAATTTGGTTTGGGATTCTTGTGATTCTGGGATTTTCCGCTCGGCGGCACAAACGAGCGTTTAGTTTCGCTTTCGTTTCGGAGGCGCGCTCGCTCGCTCGCGCTAATCCGGCAAATTAAAGTGTACGGTTATGATTAATTTAATTATTTGCGTGTTTACTTAATAATTGCGTGCAATTTGCTGGCGTAGAGAGTGGTGTGGTATTGATTCGTGTGTGTGTGTGTATGCTTTGCAGGGCTTGACGTTGACTCTCGATCCGGCGACGAGCGATGACAGCGGCAGGGCGTCGGAGCGCCTCACCGGCTCCTCGGGGGCGCCGCGCGACGCCGACAGCTCCAGGGACCGGCTCAGCGACGCGAGCAGTCGATGCAGCTCTGGAAAAGGATATATCGTAAGTGCTCTTGTCTTCCAACCACTATCCCCATCCGTATCTATTTCTCTCTGCACACGCAGTCATACTTTGTTTTTAATTTTTCCAACCTTTTGATGTGTGTTTTTCTGCTCATTTTTCTGCGCGCTATTCCGCGTATTTGTTGAACTTGATCCCCGGATGAATTCCGCGCACAAACTCGCCCCGAAAAAATTTCATTTAATTAACGGGAAAGCGTTTTAATACTTTTTCAAACTAAAATAGAAGCGCCGCCGGTGAATATTCCAGCCGCCGCATTTTCAGCTCGGGATAGAAAATAGTTGTAGGAAATTTACATTGTAATTACCAGCTAACAAACTACAAATTTGCTGCTTTTAACAACATTGGGTACGCCGACGCGCTTAATTAAAACGTGCTAATGGAAACTTGCTGTCGCCATGCTAAAAATTTTCACTGCATATAATCATCGAGCTTTGTTATTTGACATTGCTTATTTTTTGGCGCTTACCAGGCGCAGTAGTGGTTAATTATTTGTAATGCTAATTACAAGCGAGCCGAGGCGGCTAATCAAATTTGCATTGATTTGATCTCGGGAACTTTTTGCCGCTGCCGCTTCAAAATGCAAACTGGAAAAATCGATTAATAAAATTCAAAACTTTTCGAATTTAAAACCCAATTACATAATATTAAGCCAAAGTCCTGCGCCGCCTGCGGAGGCGCGCGTACCATGTGCCGGGCTTCTCCAACCCTCCGCCGGTGAAGATTGCAAGTCGCGCGGGCGAAGCTTCTTTTCAAACGTCTTACTTTCTATGTCTGCCGGCGGTCGCTTGTTTTCGCGCAACTTTCCCGGCCCTAATAGACAGCCGCATCTACCGAGTGTTGCGCAATTTGTTAACTCGTTGCCGTCATTTTCAGTCGCGCCCGTCCGCGCGCATTTATTACGCGTTAGCCGTAATCCTAACGGCCACAATATCTCGGCAGTTAAAATGAAAAACAGAAAAGTGGAACAAGGGGAGCTCTCGGGCTGGGAAGTAATGCGGGCGCGGGCGCAGGCGGGCGGAATATCAGAATATGAGGGTTGTAATAATTCAAAAAGTTTGATGATACTTGAATTTCCTTGGGGAAAAATGTAATTTTCTTGTAACCGTTGTAACTCCAACTTCAACCCGAAGCGACAAACTCGCGCATTCTTTTTCCGCTCGCGCTGCATTCTTGTTCCTTTGCCGGATTTCTTTCACCGGCGCGCACGCAAACTTAAGCTAAAGTTACATTTATGCTCTTTAATTACGTTTATAATTTACTTTATTTTTTGTTTGCTGCGGCGGTGTGCTGCGCTTTGGAGCGAAGTTTGCAGTTTTCAGCCGGCGGCGCTTCGGCTCAGCTTTCCTGCGGTTTGGCGCTGAAAAACTCATTACGCTCATATTTCATCGTACGCGCGCATTTTTCTTTTCTTTTCCACTTACCCGCCGAGCAAATTAAATTAACCAAATAACACCAAGGGGCTTGTCGTTGTCGTTCTTCCTCTGTTTTACTACGCGGCGCGATAATTAGCTAGATCTAAAACGATGCTTATTATAATCGCGATGATTTCTCTGTTTCAGTGTGATAGCGAAGGAGACGACGATAAGGTAAGTGCACAGAGCCAAGACCCGTGCGTGTTTGCGCAACTCTTTATTGCCCGTTGCGTCGTCGTTCGGCCGCGATTTGCTGCGACGAGAGTGTGTTGTCGAGCAGCACTGGTTATGTGCGGATGGTGTTAGAGTGTCATTTTCCCTTTTCGCGCTGCTACGCTAAGTGACACATTAATTATTTACACGGTAAATCTAATGTGTGCTCGTCAAACAACGGCCCGCATATTGACACTGATCACAACAGGAATCTGAGCATGGGAAACATTTTTTTATGCTGTAAATGATTATCTTGCACGGCATTTTAATTTTGAATCCACAGCAGCCAAACAACTTCTTCCCGAAAGCATAGCGCCGGCCGTGAAAGAAGACGCGCATTGTTTGCGGCGCGCGTCCTATGTATTTTACGAGTTACACGCATAAAAGGGAAGCTAAATTGAAAATTGATGGCGCAACCTGATAACGATACGCCCGTGGAAACCGTTGTTGAGTTTTCGAGCGCGCCGCCGGAGTTGCTGCTGCTCCAATGCGGTCGAGTTGGTTTTCATATTCTTTGAATTTGTGTGTGCCTGTATCGTCGCGCATAATGCATCCTCACTCTACCTTTTCTTTTATCTACTATCTGCTATAGTACCTGCAATAACCACCGAGCGATCGTGGAAACCCAATAACGCCGGCATTGTCTAACTGCCGAACTTCTCTGGCCTTACGCAACACCTGGTATGCGCGGGCCGCGCCAGCTTCATCTGCATTTTAAACGAAATCGTTATTATACTCCGCGCGCATTCTTTTCGTGTCGCGCATGTGTACTACTACCTTCGTCCCGTTCTCCTGTGTTATTTTTTTTTGCATTTTCATATCCGAAGGAGCGCCGCCTCATGGTCTCCGTCTTTACGAGTTGATTGTGTGCGTTAGCACAACATCAACATTATCAACAATGCCACAACAACAAAACTTTGAGTCGCAGTTAAGCCATAAACGCAACCATTTATTAACATGAAAACGCCATAAATTATCCGTGGAAGCAAGCAAAAAAAAAAACGTTTGTTTGGCTTTCCTTCGCGCACGGCGCGCGCGTTGACTCGCTTCCAAAAATGAATTTTTCCCCCCCGACCGCGTTTTTCTCGCGTCGTGATCCGTGCGGAAAAACTTAATGAGATTTTTTGCCGGCGTGCTTGTTTCTTGTTTCATTTTCATCTCGTATACGCTCCGGCTCGTCGACGTCTTTAGTCTATTAGCGCTCGACAGATTGCCGGCCAGAAAACTACACAACTACAACGCGAATTTAACTTTTTGCTCTTTAGTTTTTCGTTTTTGCTTCTTGCGTGTTGCGCGTCTTCGGTGGTTTTTTTCTCGCGTTTTGTTTTTTTCGCTCGCCGCGTTGAGAGTTTTTGGGCTTTCTTCGTTCGGCGTGTTGTGTTGTTTGTTGGTTTTTCATTCTCGTACACTGCTTTTTCTTGTTTTTCGCCTGTAAGTCAATCCTTCTTGTATCATGAACGAGGCGTTAACGCTGAACTTGACAGCTAGCGCACTCCGCCGACTATACAGGACGACGTGCGAAAATCGATTACTTAAGCCAGAGCGCGCGTGTTGTTTTGCTGGGTGATCTGTCCGCGTGCAAGTTTAATGCGCGCCGCCGGTCTGCTGACGAGTGCAGATCGGCGCCAAATGAGGTTGGAATCAATGATTCAAAGCTGACAGGTAGCTGGGTCGCGGTTCCGGCGCTGAATTTTAATGCCGTCACATCCTGTAGCCCCTTGACTCGTGACACTAATGCACTAAAACAACTAATGTTCTAATACTCGTGGCGACGCAAGTCGGTCGAGTACGTTCGAGCGGTTAACGTCGGCGTCACATTAAGAGACTTAGCGGAGAGTTCTTGTACACGCCGGCGCTCCCTCGTCGGGCGTCTCCTTTTTGCGCCCGTTCTTGCGGGCGGCCGCGATGCCGAGATAAGCGTCGTTGTAAATCCGCAACAACACGTTCTATTAAATCAAACGTTCCGCCATGCGGGGCCGGAAAAATCCATACCGAAAGAAAACCGAGTGGAAAGTGCTTGAGATGAACGATTGTGTTCGACTGTGGGTTGGTTGGCAGGACGCAGGAGGCACGAAGAAGGAAGCGCCTCGATTGCGGTCCGCCGGGGCGTTTAATCAAGGAACAAACGAAACTTAACCGGAATGGTGGCGACGTCCGCGTCGTTAGCACGAGTGCGCGACGCTGCGAAACGCCGTCGAGGCAAAGAACATATTGCGCCACTTGACGATGAGTAGACGCGACGAGGCGCGCAGTGAAATCGATATTTCCAATAGGCTGCCCCCGGCGCCTCCATCGGAATCGTGGCGCGCCATAACACACACATTACACGCGATTTTTTCGCTCGTTTTTCATTAACATCTTCTCATCCTCCCGCGAGGATCGTGTTTTATTGTGGGTGTACTATTCACTTCATGTTTATTTTTTTCTCTCCCTGTTTTGTTTAATAATTTGTATTTATATTTGTTGGCGTATTTATGTTTCTTTTTGTTGCGCCCGCCGGGCCGAGGGCTTTTTTTTTTCGCCCACGCGTTTGTGTTTCATAGAGATACTTTTTGCGATTTGTTCGCTGGGATTTTTTGCACCATTTCATTTTATCTCTCCCGGCTTCAATGTTTTCCCTTTATTTTATTTCCGCTCTTAGTATTTCGTGCGCGTATTTCACCCGAGCAATACGACAATGTGTCGGATATTTTTCCTCAATTTTCAGTCGACTCGACTACTCCCGTCGACGACTGGATATTTTATTCCGTTCAAGAGGAAGCAGAAAAAGAAGCCCGAAAAACGAGTCGGTAATAACATCGCAGCGCTTTTCCGCTGCGCTTTCTTTTTCCTCCACTGTTACGACTATTACTTTTACGTTTTCTTGCGTCGTCGTCGTCGGTTTTTTTCCCTGCTCCGTCCCTCTCACGCCGGTGGCTTTTTTGCGCCCGGTCGGCGTGGCGTGGCCCTTTTTCGCATTCTTCTTCAAGCTTTTTGTTCTCGCCCGTCTTGCGGCAATGTGCTTCGGATAGCAAATCGTCGAACATACATTTATGGGAATGGCAATTGGAAAAGAGGAACTGCAAGCCAACCAAGCGAACACATGCGCGCGCGCGCCGTGCCGCGAGCGAGACGCCCGCAAAAAACGCGGCGCAGCGCGAAAGAAAGGAAGGACAAAGTTGTATTAAATGTTTAGTTTCCCGATAGCCACGTAATCTCAATAAATTTTATTGCGAGCGCGTTGGTGGATCGTTTTGCCGAAATGCTGCACGTCCCGGCGACGCTCGGCTACATCTTCGCGGCGCGCTCCGGCTCGTCCTCGGTTAGTGGCGGTACGTGTCCTGAAATTCGGTTTTACGAGCCGCGGATGAGGATTGATACGGGCCATAAAGCGAGCTCTGCCGCCCCTAGCCCCCGCCGTCGGATCAAATTCGTACCGAATCTTTCTTTCATGCGGCTCCGGCGCAAACGGAATCAAAACAAACATCGCTTAGCTTCCTTCTTTTCTCTTCTCTCGTCGCGCTGCTACTACCTACTAGTTCGACCAGTTGGACTAGTTTTTCCCTCTGTCTCTTGCCAAATCAACCATGTGTCATGCGATATCGCACAATCGTACAATCGCACAAAGGGAGATCAATCATTTACGAGCCGAAACACAATACGCCATAACTCTTCGCGCAATCTGCTAAAACCAGAACTTCCGAAAAAGGAAGCCGTTGGCAGAAGGAAAAAAGCGCCGGGGAACGGTCGCTGCGTCGTCGTCGTCGAGCGAACTTTCCAAAATAACTTGTAAATTTCATTAAACACTGCGGGAGCGATAAAACGTCGCCGCGGCAGCGACGTGAACGTTTTAATGATCCGAAATAATCGGGCGAGATCCGCAAATTTATGAACCGGAATAAAAGGGTGATAATGCTTTACGACATCACAGTATGTTTGTCGTTCGAGGATATAAATGACGAGCTGGGGAAGCAGCGTCGCAATGGCGAGTGCAGACCGGGAAACTAATGCGCGCGCGCCTGGGAAATTCGAAGCTTTTGCTCGTTTTATGTCGTGTCAGCTAGTTTATCAACTTCAATATCTCTTATCGTGGACGAGTGTGGGCAATAAAGCGGCCGAAGATGTCGCGCCAACACCGTGTCGAGGGTGTTGTAAGTACATTTGTTGCGGATATTAGTCGAGAACAGGGAACGAACAGTTTGCGCGAGTGGGCGACGGCAATGATTTTGTCACATCGTGCGCGGGCGCGCGTTTTCCGCACAATGCACGTCAATCCAATTGAATACTTTATGTTGTTATGAAATAAATATGCTCCTGCGCCGGGCACTTACGTGCGCATTGACTGCGATCGACACAATCGATCACGCGCCACTTTGCGATTTACAGGAAATTGGAATCGTGCGTACTTCAGATTCAGGCGCGCTCCGTTTTGCATCTTATTGCGCTCCGTGACGATTTTATTTCTTTTTCCATTTCGCCGTCGTCAAGCGGCCGTAAGTAGTTTGTCGAGTTTATCAAAGCGCCGGCCGAAGATCCGGCGAGGTCGAGTGTTAGAATAATGATTTGTCAATTGGCGATTGGATGATGTCGAGCCTCGAATTAGTTTCGAGTGTTTGCGCATTCGACATTAATGCGGACAAAACAATTTATCGTCGTCGGGCGTCGAGTGGCCGGACAGCAGCGGCGAGCGCGCGAGCCTGCCGTCAATCCGCGCGCCGTGTCGTCCTTTTCGCTTCCGTTGATTGCCCGCTGGCGTGCCATCGATTTCGGCCCGTGCTCGACACATATCTATTACAATTGTCACGTCGTTTACACGACAGGTATATTAATAAAACACACCCGAATTATAAGTGCCTGCGAGCACTTCAACAAATAGACAGCGCATTAATAAAAGATCAGCTCGAGGAGTTGCCTCGGTATTCACGATCCGGGAATGTCGAGAGCGCTATGCACACAAAAAACACACCGTTCACAGACACTTT